AGTCTGCAAACAATCAATACCAATTCCCAGAGGTACAAGTTCTGACTTGTGCTCACAAAACTTCAAACAGGACAACCTCCATATTGCCAGGCATCGCTACACACATTTGGCCACTCCTATTGACTTAGGGCTGGGCGATTTGGCCTAAAAATACAATCTCAATTTTTTTCTAACTAATGGACAATTTTCGATTTAAATCTCGATTTTTTTCTAAACAAACCAGACCAAGGCAAAATTTAAATACATATTTTCTTTATTAACACAATAAAAATAAATGAGATTACCAAGTAGTCTAGGCCTATGTGAACAAATCAGTTGTTCAAGAATAAAAAAAATAAAATAAAAACAAAATAAAAACAGCACCACTTGGCTGTCATTAATGTGCAAAGATTTTTTTTAAATCAAACTGGAAAAAAAATCTCTTGTAGGCCATCCCTGAAAAAACTTGTAAAATGAAATACAACAAATAATGATAATGAAATGAATAATAAAAAAATACCCTCAAACAAAATAACATCCCTTTAACTTTCTAGGAAGTTGTCTACTCCTGTTCCAACAGTCGTTCTACCATCAGTTGTTTCGAACCCCACCTGGTTAGGGACTCGGTGATGAGGTTGTGAGATGGTAGCCCGAGCTCAGCCTGTACCACTGCCATATCTCTTCTCTTCTTCCAACTGAAGGAAAAGGCACTTACAACCTTTTTGCAAACCCCGATGGCACGGTCAATCCGTGGATCTTTCATACCATTCACTGTAAAAAGGAAAGAAAAAGGGAAGAAACCAAAAAGGAACATTTTAGAATGGCACCATTTAATCAATGTGACAAGGACAGCATTCACACATTGTGATAGTCTTTTTTTTATGATTTAAATATTATTATACATTTTCCATGACAGACAAACACAAGAAAAAACTGTATGACAATACAAGGACATGGCTGTAGCACAAACCAGTGGGAGGAGGGAGGGTTACAGTGTTAAATTATTTGATGCATGTGTTTCTCTTTAACACATAGCCTAGTGTGTCCACATATTATCTTACACATTATGATAGTCTAACACTTCTTAATTAAGCTTAATTCTGTTTGACAAAGAAAAGAAAATGTTTCACACTGTAGGTATAATTTAATTAATGTGTAGCCTACACACACGCACACACACTAGTATTACATTATTTATGCACTTATGGCAATTATGCATAACTGTATCAAGGCTCCAGACTTTTTTACTGAATAGATAGGTTGTCTCGCATTTCCCCTCCCCCACACTAAAGCCATCACTGAACCTAATATGCAACTGCATCAATCCATTCAATTCGTTTTATACATACATGTAGCACTTTGTTATGCATTGTGTAGTCACTTACTGATGGCATTGTGAAGTCTGTGTCCAAAGCATTGGAGGTTGGGCCACTCAGTCAGTCTCAAGGCTTTAATCATGTTGGAACCGCTGTCCGTAGTCATGCAAACAAGACGGTCTTCTCGAAGCTTCCAGGAGGCCAGCGAGTCTTGTAACCCCAGGGTTTCCCACACATAGACTATACTTGGGCGGGCCGCCCAGGTATATTAACGGCCGCCCAAGTATATTTCGCGACCCATTTTTTTTTTAATATAATTTTTTTTTGTATTTTTTTTTTTGTATTCGTCCGTGACCACGACGCCATCTGCGATCGATTAACTTGTGGACAATGATCCCTCGCTCCCTTGCTCTGATCTCGCCTCGTTAAGTGGCCTGCCTCACACAGGGTGACTGGCTGTCTACATGATGTGGCCTGCCAACATGGCCACTGTCATAGAGATCATAAATCAAAGCGCTTGATTGGTCTCTGTGTCATTCAAGCTCGGGATAACCTCAGCTCAGGTGAGGTAAAGGACTCTCTGAGTGTTTAGATAGTTAACTTAGTTTAAGTTCTCAGTGGGTCTCAAACAGTGTGGTCACCATTTATGTAAACACATATTTCCATTTGAGAGGGTAGTGATTGATCTAATGGATAGTGAGGTGGGCTGAAGATCGGAAGGCTGTGAGTTCAAATCCCGCCAGGAACACCACCACTAGTGTGCCCTTGAGTGCCATCTTTACGCAAAATGATTATACAAAATGAAAACTTTTTTTTTTTTTTTGCGCACCCCCATCCCCAAAAAACCAGACCACATCTCGAAAATCACTGCATGGATGAAATCTAGCAAATATTTATTGAAACTAAACAGGATGTTCAACTTTGAAAACGATATAAAGTGGAATTTTTTTAATTGGCTTATAGAACAAGTAATGGATAAATACAATAGATCATATTCTCACACATTCTCACCAGCATTTACTTGAAACTGAAAGGACGATAGCTACAGTCAACTATTAAAATGGGGGGACTTTTAATTGCATGTTATTTTATGTTTTCCAGGCAATCAGTTTATTGATTACACCATGTCAATATTTTACATGAAAGCGACCCTACTCTTTTACATTACGATGTAATTGACTTGTGTTACAGAGTGAAGCTTGTGAATGTTTTCACTGAAGTAGCTCAATGTACACCAAGAGGTCAACTTAACCCCTAGATTCCACAGGGTCCGTCTGCGCCGCGGCGGTCACAGCGATCGCGGCCACTCTAGTCAATGGGTGCTATTCCACCAGACTTGTCGCGTTAAGACTAGAAGCGTCCCAGAAGCGTCTCGGCGCTGGGCTCCGCTAAAAATAGGATGCAAGTCTATTGTCTACGTGATGCGAGGCGTTGCATAGCGCCGTGCATGAAGTGGACCGGTCAGAGCATCCAGTCAATCCCCAAAATAAACTAATTTTGCAGACCCTATCTCTCCGTAGTCTTTCAAGTAGGAGGAGAAATGCCTGCGGTTTACAGGCATCTTTGATTTATGTCGTTTATAACTGGAATATTACAATTATTATTAACTTTGTCTGCACAAAGTAGCCTGTCCAGGAAATATGCCCAAATCAACAAAAACTGCGAACCAGCAGGCAAGACGCTCCGCTTTTGAAATGCTCCCGGTGGGTTATGACGCTGGAGGAGGTCGGACCAAAAATGCGGCACAGGCAGACCCGGTGGAATCTAGGGGTAACGGCCCGTCCACACAGCGGCGTGCGTTGAAAGCTTCACTTCACTTTGAATGGGGTGACGTCACTTTTCACCGAATTGCATTGCGGGAAGCGACGCGGAGCTTTGCTGGCGTGGCTCGCTGCAAAAGTTGAGCAATGTTGCACTTTTTAAGCCTCGGCAGTAGCTTCAGCCAATCATATGCCAGTACAAGCTCTAGCCAATCAAACCGCTGCTTGTGTGTCAGGGGCGGGAGATTAATGTGATTGGTTGTTGGTCGAGTTTCAGACGAGCCCGCCAGCAAGCTTCAACGCACGCCGCTGGGTGGACGGGCCGTAGCGGTACGTCCACAAGGCAGCGTCGCGTTGAAGCTTGCCTGTGGGCGTGTCTGGCGTGCAACCAACAACCATCACATTAATCTCCCGGCCCGGACACACAAGCACGCGGTTTGATTGGCTGGCGCTTCCGTCGACGCTTGAAAAGTTGAACTTTTCTCAACTTTCGAAGCGAGCAACGGAGGCAAAGCAACGCAACCACAATGCAGTTCGGAAAAGCGTGACATCACCCCATTCAAAGTGAATGGGAAGCGTCTCCGTTGAAGCACGCCGCTGCCGTGTGGACGTACCATAACTCAACTCAGCCCAGCTGGAGTAATAGTTCTACTGAATGATAACTAGTCAATACAATCAATCATTCTGACAAAAGCATCCATCCATCCAAGCATCCTCTGATGATTCATTAAACTAACTATATGACTATAACTGTAGTAAGTGTGTGACACACCACTTAGATGTATAAACTAAAGAATGATGCTGTTTTACCAAATTGCATTTCCGGCCACGCCCTGTCCACACAGCAGCGTTAAACAAATCTTGGAGGTGGGCGTGTCTGAAAGCTTGGGGATTTTTTTGCGAGCAACGCGACCAAACACCAATCACATGAATCTCCCGCCCCCGACATACAAAGCAATAGCAATGTTAAAACGAAGTAAACTGGATATAAAATCCCCAAACAGGCGAAAACCTACCAGTTTCACCCACTGTCTCTGCCACCTCCGGTTTGTATCCCGGTAAGTTATTAGCGACTGGTCATAAAGAACCGGGTGATTTGCTACCGCAATAACTAATTTCTCCTTCATTTTCAGGAATATAGAAAATTAATTCAAAACATTGCAAACTTGAATAAATCATTTAAATTATATATTTGTGTCCGACTTTCATTTGTACATCGTTCTTAATGTGATGTATAGTAGCTTTGATAGCTGTCCATACCTTCAGACAGCCTAAAAGTAAAACATAAGTTGTTTATTCACAGCCCGAAAGCAGCTTCGAGATGACGAAGATGAGAAGTTGTGATCAGCTCCGATTAAATTGTGATCAATTCTGTAGCTATTCTCCAGCGAGCAAGTTTTTTTATGAAATACATGTATATCCCTCTCATCAAAACAAGACTCTACACTGTGCAGGAAAAACAATTACATACATGAAAATGTATCCATCCATGTCTTCCACGTGAACGCCCTCTCAGCTGGACGGTGGACGCCAGTGGACGGAGAAACTCTGGGTTGATTTACCGAGTTGATAACCAGCGTCGTAGGACCGTTTAGCGAGATCGCGTTTGTTATGGTTAGTTAAGCCAGATAACTCAAACATAGCCAGGGTATGTTGAACTGGATTCGTAGTACAGGCCTTAGGTATACCGTTAGATGTAAACAAACGTCAACAGCTATATGACAGCTAGCCAGCTTTATTAGCATCAAGCTAACCATAATAGCGTCGCCAGCACGCGCATTTTGTCGACAAAACACGGGGCTCAACTAACAGTTAACCTTGAAATAAATCACATTAGGCCACACCAAGAGAAGAAAACAAATGGTATTTGAAGACAAAAGTTGTTAAGTCAGCGCTCAAACAACAGCATAGCCTGCTGTGTAGCACTAGCTCGCATCGGCGTTACCTTTTCTTTCTGGTACAGTTCCTGTGTCCATGTCAGGACGAAAGGACCCGAGTTGAATCTCTCTATCCGTATCCGGGCCGTCGAGAAATGAACCAAAATACCGCGTTTATTAACAGATATAGATCCGTAAATCCTCAGGCGCTTTGCATACGAGTTTTCACTGTGTATATTTTGTCAAAGCAATGAAGCTTTCATCCGCTAAAAAAGCCCACTCCTCTACTCTTATGTACTGTAGAAATGGTGCCACGCTGGAGAGAGAGGTTACTTGCGGAGACAGACAGTTGCTGAGAGGCTCCTCCCCCTGCCACCGCGGGGGCGCGCAGTCACATGCCTTCTCCACCGAGGACGCGCACAGGCAACCCGTGTAGAGCCACATACCATAACACTTTCTCATTCACTGTGATCTATGACCAGAGGTGGAAAAAGCACTCAGACGATTTACTCAAGTAAAGCACTACTAGAAATAATTAAATACTCAGATACAGGTAACACCACGTCCTTCATTCAAAATTGAACTCAAGTAAAAGTATAAAATAAATTAAGTGCTTTTTATATCTGTTTTGGGTTTTCTGAAAAGTCTTACTCCCATCATGTTAGTATTCTGTACTGTGTACAAAGACATACTATATGTTACATTTCTGGATTTCCAGGAGCTGCGTTTTGCTGATTTAGGTCGTGTTTACAGGACGCACATAGGGGTAGAGGACAACCATGGCTGTGCTTTTGCTTTGGCTGCAAATAAATCCTGTTCAAATGTTAAACCTAAACAGTTTATTTTATTTTGATCAAAAATACTTGACATGACTTGAATCAGATTCATGTCGTCCTTACCTCACCCTGCCCTGTCCCTCTCCAGTTCCTACAAATATGTTATTTTAAACTGAAAAAATTACGTGATATACATTTAAACGATGTTGAATTTAATCAGTGTTTGTGTGCAAACTACATATAGGCCTATAAGGAGAAAGGGATTTTCTGTGTTGATATCTCTTCACCTCACTTTACCAGACTCCCAATATTTTCACAATGTTATAGCAGAGTGGTATTCTTCATGGTAATGTAAAAAGATAATTATCATATAATTGTTATTAGAAAGTAGGTATTTCTATATTTGAGACATATTATCTTCAGTGACAAGCACAACATTATTGTTTGTGTGTGCTTTGGATTAAATAGATTCTACTTAGCATTCACTGGCTTAGAGATTGTTTTGGTTATTTGCCTAAAGTGCTTTAGAGATGTCTGTCCAGTCAGGCAGGCTCCTTCTCTCCTGCACTGTTTGGAAATTATTCAAATTGCCTGGCATTCAGCTCTGGATTTGGAAGACAAGATGTTTGTAAAATCATTTTCCAGCCACCTTTACAGCTCATTCAATTTTCTCTTTTATATTTTGCATCCTCTTACTTATCCCACGGTTGGTTTTAACATCTGGCTATGAGACATTTGTGCAATGCTTTGGTCGTCACTTCTCAGAACTGTTGGCACGTCAGTGTATGTGAGACTCAGACTTTGAATTACGGACCAACAAATACATAGGAAGGCCTGGTATAGCTAGGCAATACCTTGTGAATTTCTTTGGTTGGCCTATAAACAGGTGTGGATGAGAAAACTGTTGAAAAGCATATTATGTGGATTTACAGGATTCTTACACTATGCTAGTAGCTGAGCTTTACCAGAGAGGACTGACAATGTATTACAAATTGTGTGTAACAGGTCATTGCAATAAAGATTACACAATTGCAGCAACTGATGTTTATTTATTTAGTCATTCTGATAAACTATATGATTGTATGGAAGAAGTCTAAGATGCTAGCCACACCTTTTTTCTTCTCTTTTAGTCATTTAATAAAAGTGAACACATGCTCTTCCAGTTATATCTGTAAGAGCACTCTCTGCTGTGCAACAACACCATTAACACAATGCTTTCAAATACAAATGTTGTAATGTGTGGGAAAGATTGCATTGTTGTTGTAATAGCAACCACTGGTTGATTTGATTCTGCTTTTTAAGTTGATTCCTACTCAGGGTAAGAACCATAATTTAATGCAACCACTATAGGCTGGGGTGCTGAGTGTGTGTGTTTAATCACAGAACTGATTCCGTGTTGATGCACAAAAAGTCCCAGTGATGTCTATGTAAAGCATCTCTTTTGTCCTTATTTGTTGCCACATTCGGGGCTATCCATCATACAGCCAGGACAGCAGGGTCGAACACAGATTCAATCGAGTGGTGCAGAGACACTGCTGGCAGCCATCAGTAAATCTCAGTAATGAAAGCGGAGACAAGGCTTCTAAATCTTGCGTCTCATTCAGACATTACCGGAGGAAAGCTGCCAAACAGGGCCACATTAATGGGTAAACAAAAAGTAAAGTAATTTAATCCAATGTCCCGTTCTTTGTATTGCACACACAGCTCATCTTTGTTTGAGCATGCTTGAAGTGGATTAGATGGTTGTTAAGTCCCTGAGATCAATGCAGTTCTAAGTCTTGGTTAATGATGTTTAACTGGGATTGACTCACAATAAGTAGAGTTTAGGATCTCATACCTGTTCAAATGTATTATTCGTAAACAGAACTTTGCAGTAGCTACTTTTGAGATACTGTTTTCAGTTTCAGATTATACACACAGGCCTTTTCTTTATCGGATGCCACCCATTTACAGTATTCAGTCGCACATTCTTCCACAGGATAGGGGGCTTAGGAGATAAACAGATGTGGTGCCTGAAGCCTTCCTCCCTGTAACCGACAGGAAGAGACCATCTCCGTTCTGTAAGGTCGAAGCTGTTTGTGTGTCTGCAGGTAGAGAAGAGGGAGCACAAGATTCCTAACAATACAAGTAACTTTTCCCTTTGTTGTTGTTTTATTTGAACAGTTTCTTACACTTATACCACCAACAGCACATACTGTACTGAATGCATGCTTCTTAAAGTGTCCCAATAGCATAATTCTTGTCTTCTTGTGTCTTCCTGTTTCTATCAAAAAGCGACAGTCATGACGTTGTGTGGTTTCCTGTTTATCCTCTACTGGTTTGCAATGACGGAATGATCTACTAAAGCTCCCTCGATGATGATTGGCCAATCTTATCCGGCTGCAGGGTTGAAGTTTCAAGTTCTCACTCTCTTTCTGCCTCCTCATTTTATATTCTCACAGCGACGGTGGTTTAAAAGTTCAGCTGGGAGCCTTTTTAATATCTGCAGATTTGAAAATGCTCCTTTGTTTACCCAGGCAGCCTGCCTATGGACCTGAAAGCTTTCTAAGACTGAGTTTGCTGAGAGAGAAAGTGTGTGTGTGTGTGTGTGTGTGTGTGTGTGTGTGTGTAAGCAGAGAGCAGCAGACTCACAAAGTGATTACTTTTACTCTTGAGACGCACAAAGACTCAATTGAATCTGACAGTTACTAAACACCATCCTAGCATTCTCCCTATTCCCGGACAACTGTGTGGTAATATCAAAAGTGCTGGTTGTTTCACAGTAAGCCTGAATCACCACAGAGTTTTCACCTCTGATGAAGTGTTGCATCATTCTCAACATGCCTGATCAAATGACATGGCTAATCGTTGCAAAATCTTTTACAGGGTATGATTGATGAAGACATTATCTACTGTATTATCTGGAACTGACAGGGCTACATAGACAAATCATCTGTGTAAATTGTTCAAATGTCAATTCGCCAGTATGTGTGTCTGTGTGAATACGTTTTCTTACAGAGTAGGGTGACATCATTGAAAAACGATCTCATCTGCTCACTCAGTTTTTCCAGGATTTAAACTGGCAGCTTAAGTTTTCTGAGAATTTCTGACAGGACGGTTCCAACTGGACACATTTTTCCTTTCTCTAGAAAATTCTGAAGCAAAAAATGAAACACAAAGCACGCCTTTATGCTTCGAAAAGGGCTTTTTCATTTTAAGTAACTGGACGCGAACTCATCCAGAGTAAAATCAGTGGTTGTACACTTTATCAAACACATATCAAATACACCATTTACACAATGACACTTGCAGGAATGTGTCCCAAGTGAGACGTCATGACTTAATGGTATTTCAAAAGATGATCGCATGGCACATTTTCGAGAAATACAGGAGTGCTTAAGGGTTCATCAGGTGCAAAACCAGTTCCTGTCAGGCGTGTGTGTCTGACTCCTCGGCAATTTGCACCCTCATGTCTCTGGGGAATTTGACAGCAACATACTGCACGTACCGCGGGGCACAGTCTCAGGCGATTCACGGATACTGGGAAGAGTGAGAGTGCAGGAAGAATTGTGGATCAATGAGGAGACTCTTAGCTCTCCTGCAGTTCAGGCGAGGTGAAGGAGAAGTTACGAAACTCCTCCTGGTTGATGGAAGGGATCATAGGGTCATCGATGGGCGTGAGGGTGGGCTCTTCCTGCGTGAAATCTGGGTCAAAGTTGTTGACGTCTTCAGGTGTTTTCTGAAGGGGAAAACACAAAATGATTAATCAGCTGCAACATTTTAGCAAAAACCATGGTTGCAGTCACCGGCTAAGACAAGGTCAATCATTATGTAATGTCTGCTGAGTGTCTTGCTTATCATTTATACACACACTATCAAGCTATCCATAAAGTTATTAATGTGACTTACGATCCTTGGCTTGAAGGGCGGCTCTATTTCTCTACGATTCAGCTTCTCCCAATCGATGCCAGTGAAGAAGGCGTGGCTGGTCACAGCGCTCTCTCCGCCCTCTGAGGCCACACAGCCCAGACGCCGGGCCGGGTTTTTGGTCAAGAACTGGGAAAACCAAAAGATTCATGACCTTACAGAAGAAACTTAAAAGGAACAGTATTCTATAGTCACTTGTTGGATATACCTAATGTAGAGGTGTCTGCCTTTCATGAAATATTGTTTAACTAGAGGGCATTTGGCTTGTGGTGCTTAAATTAACAAAATAAATATACATCAAGAACTCAAAAGCAATTATTATCTTATTTCAGAAATACTGACCCTGTTAGTCAAGATAGTCAACAGACCTAGTGAGCAGTTTCACGAAGGTATTATTTAGTTTGTACTTTGTGGGAAACAAAAATTGTTGTTGAGTTTAGATCTTTATGGCCTCTATCTGAAACACTAGGCAAATTGCACCAAAACAATCTAGATTCATAAATAGCACTACAGGAAAGAGGATTTTGGAATGAACTGTACTTTTAAGACTAAATAATAAATGTTAAAATCATGTCAATTGTCAAGACAATATGACACATAACAGCAGCAACAACCAAGTAGGATTAAACTGTTTGAAAACAGTTTAGCAGCAGATTATACTTTGTTGCATCTCTACATAGTGAGGAAATATGACTCATGTTATTCAACTAGATCAGACCAGAATGTTTTTGGAGAAGTGCCAAACTCAACTTGAGCCAGCGTGACATCCAGTCAATCACTCCCAATTTATGAAAAAACTCACCCTGTGTTGTTACTGGCGCCACCTACAATGCTTTATCTTAGTTCAATATAGTGCAACTGAGGTGTCTCAACTTCCTGGTTTCACAAACAATAAAACAATAGAATAGTTAATCACCTACAACTGTGCCTCTGCCAGAATTATAGAGGGATGGGTCCAAACAAAACAAACTCAAAATTGGAAAACTTTGTTTTAACTTGCCTCTGGGAGGAAACTGAAAAAACCCCAAAAGAAAACAATATTGAAGTGTTTTGAACAGCTCTGTCTGGGCATTCAGACAAAGCCACAACAAACCTCTGTCTGCACAGCGACAGTGAGCAGACTAACCCAAAGACATTGGAAAGATCGATACAGCTCAAAACACTATTAACTACCAGCGGCCTTAACAACCCCACATACCTCTGCAAAACTAAGTTCACAAAGAAAGAGAAAGCTGATTAGAGAGACGTCAAAGAAATAGAATGGCACTTAAGTTGAGAGGAAAAGATAAAGAGGAAATGGTGAATATAAAACACCCTAATGTTGGTTTTGCATAGTTTAGTCCTGTAACTCACAATCAGACAAGCCTCAGACACATGCCACACCATAAAAATCAACTTGCAGAGACTTGAATCTTGCATCGACACAACAGGACATCTTCCTTCCAGTTGAAGGATCTATTTAATCACTGCATATCTGCTGATATAACAGACTATCACTGAGCAGCTCTGCAGTATGTGTGTAGATTTAAAAACCTTGGTTACCAAGGAAATGAATCATTAATTGTTAGGCACTTTACTGTAAATCCCCCTCTGCTTATGTGTTGTTGTATAACATCCTTCTCTCAGGTTGTTGTTGATGTTGTGCTGGCAGGTGATGTTGATGTTTGCTTGCTTCAGTGCTATTGTACAATGTTAGTGTTGAAATGTAAATTAAACACATTTTTTTTAGACATTCTTCATTGGGGACGAAACATTATAGTTTAATGCTTATGCAGTTGCGTGTGGGGATTTGCAGCTGTAAGCATGACTGTGATGACGTGATTTGCAGTTATTGAGTTCAAACTTATTTAAAAACCACAGCAGGGCACCAGTATGGCCTTGAAGTGGAAATAACACAGACCAGCAGGGGTCAATCGGTTCAGGAGCTTACAGACCACAAAACTTAAGGAAACTATAACACTGATGCCATCTTTCCATCCTCAGCACCAGACCTAACACGTCAGCATTACTGAATTAAGAAGCCATTCTCCACCACACTAGCAGAAACATACAAGGTCATCAGAAATGACATGGGCATTTTAATATATATGTTTTTGATTTTCTATTAATCAGATATATAATTTGTTATGCTTCCAGGTTATGTAATGTGGAGGAGTCTAACACAAATGTAAATCAAACATCTTTGCATTTTGAAAAGATGGCTGACAGTAGAGGAAAGGACATTGAGGGCATCAGCTTTTGGCTCACAGATATTGTGATGGGCATTTTATACTTTTTTCTGATGTTGCATAGAAAAGAGGATTTATCAATTATCAAAATGTATTGTTTTATTACTCAGAATGAACTCAACTGAAATCCAACTGAACTGGCCTGCATGCACGAGGAGCACCTCACAAAGATCAACTTGCAGTATAAATAGTGCAGCAGCGTTCAAATCCCATCACACCAACAAGCATCTTTACGCAACATGTGACTCTGACAGCAGTGACACAAATCACCAGGGGACATGGGTCCTGTGCTTCCTCAAGCATGTTGGAATAACAACAAGGATAAGAGGAGGAGAACAGGGAGGGAGGGAGGAGGCGTGTCGTATTTATAGCCTGTGTGCTGTGGCTGGGCAGTGGACCATGCCTTAATATAGTTGCAGTATGTAAGAGACCCTGGCGAAACAGCTGGCTGGCAGAGCTCCGCAGGGCTGTCAGTCACTCTGAAGGACAACAAATAACTAACCCTGATCATAGAAACGCAGAGCAAAGCCGTCCAACCTTTGACATTGTAACATATCAAGGAGCAGGCTCGTGTTACTCTGTCCAACAATGCTGGGAATTAGTCTTTTAGAAAATGTTCACAACTTATTGGTTTTTCTCTAACATGCTGGTCACCAGTCATGTGAGAAATTGATTTCCTCTATCATTAGTTCAGTTTAAAAAAAAGTTTCGATGACATTTCTTGCAATTATATAGTGTAAAATGTCAGACGGAGGCAATCTGGGGATGGAAAATGTCTGGCAAATTTTTTTTAAAAACAGCAGCTACTACATCCAGCTTTATCCATCAATAGGGCTGCAATGATTATTCACCTTATTGATTATTGGATCAACACGAAAATGTTCGCCAACTATTTTGATATTCAATTAAAACTAACTGCAAAAATAGCGGTAGATTCAGCCTCTTAACTCTGGAGATGTTCTGCTTTTCTCTGCTTAATATCATATTAAACTGAAATCCTTGGGGTTGAACTCACAGAACAAGATATTACCTTGGATTTGGACATTGAATGGTTTTCTTACATTATAAAACCAGATGATACAATGATTCATATTAAATTAAATTAAGATTGAATAACAATACATAGCTTTTTCAATAATGACATCTAAATAATCATTGGATGCAGCCATATTAAGCAAGTTGATGAAAATGAACCTGGACTCACAGATTTCAGTATAGTCACTGCCTCATCACTGAGCCAAGATGCATAAACAATCTCTTCATTGAGGATGGATTCAAAGAGGTCATCTTCATTTTCAGCCTCAAATGGAGCGTGTCCTGACAGCATCTCATACAGCAGCACACCGAGAGCCCACCAATCAACAGAGGGCCCGTATAGCATCTCCTGCAGGATCTGTGGAAACATGTCGCGGCATTAAAGTTAACCACCACAGCACAGAGAGCATTGAAAGCAACTTTTAAAAATAACAAGTGGTTGGATTAATAGACTGTTGGGTTAGTGTGTTGCCAGTGAGGCTACACTGAGGAGCAAGTGTTGACTGTTAAAGAAGCCTTTCATAAATCCAGACTCACAGAAAAGTCTCTCAAACATGAGGACACAGAGCATCTTAATCCCTCAATATGAAAACCAAGCACATTTGTAATAATCAAGGCTTGTCATGTCTATAGAGCCTTTCACAATTTGACTTCCAGTAAGTCAGGAGAGAGTTTGAGTGACAGTGATGGATGGAGAGAGGAAGGCACTGGGAACTGCGTCAAATGAACTCAGAAGACCTCGGTTACAGGAAGCAACATGTGTTCTATGTTTCTCTTGTTGCAATCTGGTAAACTGATATAAAACAGAACAACAATATATGAAAATGTGCTGTAACGCAGGTGAGTTGAATAAAGGGTCCAGATGTCTGTCATTATAGGTAGTTAAGGGTAAAGTTACAGTGAGTTTTTTAAGCACAAGAGCAGAGACTAACCTCAGGCGCAATGTAATCCGGAGTCCCACAGAAGGTTCCTGTGGCCGCGCCTTCAAACATGCCCTCTTTGCACATGCCAAAGTCCGCCAGCTTACAGTGACCGTCTTGGTCAAGAAGAACATTGTCCAGTTTTAGATCCCTGAAAAGGCAAGACAAACAGAAAGAACCAGAGAATAAAATATCTGTTTTGGGACATTGTTAGCCACGATTATTAATAGTACAGAGTAAAGCTGGAAGCTATTATTCAAATGGCCCTCATGTTGTCTGGTGTTGGCAACTTTGTGTGTTTATAAAGTATGTTGTTACTCACGTTTTATTGGTTGGTTCTATTAAATGCTTTATATGGTTATTTCTAACAATGTTACTCTTGGATTTGTGACCTTGCTCTATAAAAATGTGATATACTTAAAAAATGTTACTCACTAATCATCACCCATGAAACAATTTAATTTACGCCAACAGCTGCAGAAATGTCAAGTTTGTGTTCAGACTGCAGTCACACCCTGTCGGTGTTGTTTCTAATTATATCCCATGGAGGTGGACATTTGTGGTGAGACAAAAACAGAAGGTCTCCTGAGGACAGTGAAGCTCCTGTTGCAGAGGGAGACGCTGACAGACTGCCTGAATGTTAAATTGCTGCCATGAAGAATCAGATGACCACTTAGGCTGGCACCAAGGAAAAGTGCTTTAATGTCAATATTTAGACTGAATTCAGGAGAGGCAAAACGAGAGCTCCTGGAACAAATTCTTACAGCTTAGTTAATCTGACATGTACTGGAGGTAATTAAAGTGATACATTATTTGAATGTTCAATCATGCAATTTGGGGGAAAAAAATGTTGGGTTATAAATCATTGTTGTTTTCCTCTAAAGCAAATTCTTACAAAATATAAATAATATCAATGAGATTTTTTTCTTGTGTCTTTGTTGTGATTTTCCTGTACCCTGTAAAATTATGAGTTTATATTTTCTAAGGAAGGGGCAACCGGTAATGAAATAAAGCAATAAATGAAAAGTATTAAAAAACTGAAATTAATCCATATTTCCAAACCTGGAGTAAAAATATAATAACAATTATATTATTAAAAGACCTATAGAAGAGTTAGTTCAAGCGACATCCTTGCTACACATTATCAAACTTATCTTTATTACTAAGGTTATAAGATTTGTCATTAGATGGTAGTTATAAGAATGGTTATACGAACAATAAGAAGTGCTCTGTGTTGTGGAACTAAAGAATCACCATGTGAGCATAAAAAGAAATATATATACATAGCTCCTCAGTCAGCGAAGAAAGCAATAACAACATGCATATATAGTAATGGAATAAATAAGTATCTTCCCCAGTGATATCTGTGCATGTGAAAGGATGGCAAAGATCTCCCCCTGTCAGCTGGTGCTTTGTCATCTGACAGGGAGATTAAACCTTCGGAGTGTGCGATCTGGAGTTGAGCTCTAATCTGATCTAATCTGATCTAATCTGATCAAACTTTAGACCAAGGTCATTTTATGGAGAGGAAGCTGTATGGAAGATACTTTGTAATATTACTAGCTGATGCTGAATATAAATGACAATATGTGGGAAAAGCATACAACGCTAAAAAGGAAAATGTTTTTTATTTCCTGTCCTTCCAGTAGACAAGGACTCTGATTGATTTCCTCAAACAGGTTGACAAACGCAGAAATTCTCAATGAAAAATGGACAGAGCCTGCCGTTCAAACCACACTGGCCTGTTTGTATTAATCTGGTTTGCTTTACATAATCAGATTGTGTAACAGTGACTCAGAGGTTCATGGGGACTTTCTGTCGCATTCAGCCTCACATCTAGGCCAAAAGAGAGCAACTCTGACCACTCTGCCGTACATTACACAACAGGAAAGTCCAAACTGTAGAGGCCAGCCAATTGATTAATGGTTAAGTGGGTGTCTCTGATATATGGCCAAACATTTTCATACCTCAAAACACTTTCCAGTAGTATTTGTTTCTATATTTGGTTATGAATGTGTCGTCTGAGATATGAGCCCTTTATCCAGACGGTTTTAAACCCAGTTTTCATTACACATCACTTTGCAAAAAACCCACTATACCTACTGAAACACTAACTGGGTCAGAGATAAAGTTGCACTAATATGAACATTTCCAGAAAAGAGAAGTGGAAGTGCTGACGCAGATATTGTAATACTACTTTTTCTAACTGTGGCAAGGGTAAGAGACCAGTACATCCGGACAAACCACCACGGCCTTCTAACATCTTTACAAATAGACATGTGTTGTTCCTCATACTCTAAAATGTTTGATCAACTATTAATGTTGCACCTTTGTATTCCTCATGCTGTTACATTGTCTGAGTTGTCTTGAACAGTTTTATTAAACGTTTTAAACTCTCTAAAATTACCTACTGTACATACCTAACTGTTTTGAGGCAGCTGTACTCTGCCTTGCCAAACTTGTACTCAATTAAACTTAATAAATTAAACTGAAACCATAAGCTGTTCTGTACTGTGTTTACCTCCTGCAGACTCTCCTCACTAAACAAGTGTTGCAAACCAGCCAGTCCGGGTTCAGACCATTTGAAATATAGTAATCAACAAAATGTGATGTTTTTTATATCATGAATGAACCACAGCATTTCCACAGCTTCAAACCTAGGAGGATAATAATTGGACATCTGCTGAAATAACAACTCAGAAGGTCCAAAGCACCACTCTAGCTATGGCTAGAAGCGATATGGCTGACAGCGATATATCTGTTTGAGTCACGAGAACACGTACTTATAAGTTATAACACATTACAGTGACTTGAGGTCGCTGGCTTATTTTTAAGGCGCTCTGCTGTTATTACACTGGCCTGATGTGCAAGCTGCTCTTTGGCTTGTCATTTTGGTTGTAGCATGCAAACTGCATGTGGCCTCTTAAGCTAATAATCATGCTATGTGGTGCAGGCCACACTCACTGAACACTTGGACCTCTAAATATAACCAAGGATTTATCTCACATGATGCTCACTTCCTTATCATCATGCACCGGCAGGCACCCAAGGGTTTGAAAAAAAACACTGAAATATGTGATGCTGGAATACGAGCAGTAAAATGGTTACCATATGAAAAAAGAACACAAAATGATATTATTAAAATTGTAGGTCTGTTTACATCTGTTGTGTGCTTGCTGTTTCTATGGTATGAGCCTTGAGGAAAAATTAAAATGATAATGAGCTTAAACTAAACATTTGGTAAATAGCCCAAGTTTCTGGCTGCAAAACACGCTGGAGCATTTTAATGGGAAACTTCATTAAGGGCTAATGGTTTGAGAAAAGGCTGGGAAGTATATGATTGATGGCTTCAGAAAGTGCTCTGATCTTTCAACTGAAATGGGGAGAGAGAAAATAATGGCTGAATAAACGCACATCCATCTTAAAACAAGTTTACTGCGATTTTGTATTTTCCTCTAATAAAGTTGGACGATTTGCAAAAGAGGATTAGAAAGAATTGAAGCCATTTCTGGACTTTTCTACTGTAGGCATAAAGAGATGCATGTCTTTGTTTTAAACACTTGAGGGTCTACTCTGAATAATGACCGGAATGACCATCAAAAAACTAAATAATAGTGAAACAAGGCGTAAAGATTTAGAAATCTCAATAATATATAACATTCTTGAAAATACCTTTTAGAGACTCATTAATAGATCAAATACCTGGTTCAGATGGTGACCTACAGTAACCTATAGCACAAATGCTTTGAGGACCTTTCTTTGGACACACATGTTATAATCTATCAGGCCCAGCAAAGCCATTAAAGTTATTAGTGTTCTGTGACTCAGACCTGTAGAGGATGCCTTTGTCGTGCAGGAACATGAGCGCGGAGGTGATCTCTGCTGTGTAGAAACGCGCTCGAGGCTCTTCAAACTTCCTGGACTTCTGGATGTGGAACATAAGATCGCCACCATTCACAAACTCCATCACAAAGAAGAGGCGTTCCTGCAAAAGGAGATGAGATTTATACATATGCAACACAAACCACAGTAGCCTCACAGGGGATCTACAAATCCGTGACCATGGCCATGCTGAGATTTCCTCAAGGATGACGCACGCCTGCTTCTCATACATTTCACATGTCTATTTAATGTATTCCTGTGCAGCTAGAATGTCAGCGGGGCAAAATAAATATTGATCGAAACCCATATATCTTTTTCTCTCAGTAAAGGCTACAGTTGATTTGTGATCTAGAAAATGAAAAGCAGGAGAAAATGAAAAGCAGAAGAACATGATGTTCAGGTTTGATCGTAAAGCTTCCTGGAGCCATCAGGACATTCAGTCACAGCTGACTACATTTGACTGCTCTGTGGTTAAGGGTAGTTTAGTATTTCATGTTTAATAATAATGTGCTGCCAAGTAATGCAGGCAAACTTGAAAGTACTTTGACATGTTTCAGTAGGTTCACTTTTACTTGAATTAAATTCAATAGCTTTGTTGAACATTAAAGTAACTAATGCAATTTCCTGTGGTGTTCAGTTTAGATCCACAGCTATGTGTGGCCATGCAAGGTGAGGCAGCCTCTGGGATTTATTATACTTAATTATACTCATTTATTTTGCAAGACACTTTTCAGACCTTGGTCAACTTGATGTGTGGCCATGCAAGGTGAGGGTTTTTCCGATCAAGATGAATAACCAATGATAAATTGCTGTATCGAAGGTAAATTCCAACTTGACATAATTTGGTAAAAACTGAAATGATATATGCCCACCCATCACCACAGGCGTAACACATCTCCTCTCTCACTCTTTCAAAACCTACCCACTTCAAAATGGATGGGAGTTCAAAATGGATTACTCTTTAAAAAAATCAACATGTAATACTTATTATAATAGCAATGTAATGTGAAAAATGTTTAGTCACGTTTCTTTATTTCCTTACAAGAAAATGCTAAGTAATTTCATCACAACCGGCTCAGGAAGGGGCGATGAGATGTCAGATAAAAACTAGTGGTGCAACAAAGCCTTTTCTATGGTTTTTTGTGTGGGTATAACTGGGTAGGGAGCAGTGTCATAAATTCAATTCTTCACTTTGTGCAGGTCTATTTCAATCCCAGAAGAAGTAGGTCAGTAAAGGTTTGAACAACTGAAGCAGATTAGAAGTGTCCGGTCTGTGAGGCGTCACTCACTCCTCACACATGCACACACAACACTTATAAACTGCTGCCCCCTGCTGACAAATGTACATATTACAATGCTTTGTACCAATCCCACACTGCATGCTGAGTCTGACTGTATCCTCTACTGTGTTTAAGTGACCATTGGTGTGGTTAGTATACATCTCAAGCAATATGTGTAGGTTCAGTTAATGAACCTGATAACAGTGTGGTGGCAATACACAATGATAACATATGCAGAAACCACCTATATTATGATATAAGAATGGAAATGGTGCCAAATGATGACTACCAAAGCACTGTGTTGCTTAAAGGAATATGTTTATATTAAGACCTAGAGCTTGAGTGCAGGACTTTTACAAAAACATTAATTTAATTTAGAATTATTACACAAGGGTTATACAACAGAAAACTGGTATAATGAAAGCAACATATTATACATTGGCATATAAGAGATTTAAAGTGGGATATGATTTTATATTTCTGTGCAAGTGAACTACAATAAATATACCTAAGAGACTAAACCAATACTTTATTTTGTGGAAAATATGCAGCTCATTCTTTAGCAATTCAGGCTTGGAATTTTTGCAATACAGTATAAAGAGTTTAGAGAGATACGACAGCCTTTGTTAGCATGGTGCTCTTATCAAGTGAAAACACTTATTCATCCCACCGTTTCATCTCAAAGCATTTCTTCAGGAAAGCAAGGGAGATGGAAAAAAAAATGAAAGAACTGATTTCACCTACAATAAAAGCTTACTAAACTGCTCTATAAATGCATGTGTGGTGGACCCGTACTGACCGGCGTCTGGAAGCAGCAGTACAGCTGTGTGAGGTAGGGGTGACAGCCGGCCAGGGACAGCACCCTCTTTTCAGTCATGGTACACTCCACATCATCGTCCTGCAAAATGATGTCCTTCTTCAAAACCTTGACCGCAAACACTCGGTCTCTGTCGTTTAGTCTCGCCAGCATCACCTGCAGATACAACATAGTAGGATACACATTGTTTTCTCAAAATATTGCTTCCACTTGATACAAGTCCTATCAGAAAGATGAGGATATGTTCTTCAATAACTTCTGATCATTCCCACCTTGCCAAAACTGCCTTTTCCGAGAACTTGAAGGAACGTGAAGTCTGAGATGCCCAGTCGAGGGGTCTCCGCCTGATTGTTTTTACTCTCCCTCCTTTCAGTGGGCACCCCTATGTGACTGGCACTTCTGGCCTGTCAGAAAACAAGTAGATAAAGAAACACCACTTAGATCAGCCCTATTGAAGCCACATCTAAATAAAATAAAAACTGAATAGACTCATTCGGTAAAACTCAGCCTTTGTACCAATGAGTTGCGTTTCGAGAGTCCTCCGGCCTGCAGACCCATCTCTGCGAGCTTATTGGCCAGCTCCACGCTGTTGACCCCACAGTTTGGAGCGACGTTGCCTCTGCAGCGGATGTGAACATTCATTTTACAGACTGCAGAGAGAAAACGCAGACAAAAGCACTCAATAAGAGACACATTACAGACACTTAAGATCTAGATTTAGAGGGACAGATGTTGATAAGGGTCTTACTTTTACAGTGCAGCCCCTGCTTCACTATTCCCCACAGCAGGGAGCCACAGTGGTCACAGAAAGTGGGCGACTTGTAGTTGTGGATGTTGAACATGTGAGGGATGTTGATGCTGAAGCCCTGGGCTACAGGCTGCGGAGAGAAGACATACAGTACACTAACCACTGGGGGTGGTAACAGTATGTTCACATTCAAATGATCACACAGCATTGAGAGGAATGTTAGTTCCTATTTGTGTCACACTCAGACCCCCTTTCAGTTTATTGCTGCATTTGCTTCTCTCTGAATTTCCCAAAGGAAGAGAAACTTGTCACGCTCAGCAGAAAATAGTAAGACGGAGCAAAAGTGACACGTTTAAAATGCTAAAACAAGATCAGATGTATTTATAGAAACGTATAAAAAAAGCATGGGTGGAAAAATATAGTGTTCTGGTTCAGTGATCAGCTCAGCACAGAAACAGGAACCTGTACGGTCTGCTGATTGCTGCAGCTGTTAATTAGGGCTGTGTGTGTGTGCTTGTGTGTGTGTATCCTGTATTACACACAAATTACTTGAGAGGTGAAAAACAACAGCTATAACACGCTTGTGTCCCTGAAACCTTCTGACACACTCATTACTTTATTATTGACCAAATGATCTGTATTGAGTCGAAATCCTGCTGTTATAAGAGCCTAGTGTAACTGTGTACAGACAGTGTTGTGTTAAATGGTTCTTACCTGCTCTTTGATTTCTTTCTTCATGCGTGGACACATGGTGACGATCAGCTGGTGGCATCTTTTGTGAACCACACAGGTACACACTGGAGAAAACAACCACTCAATGTCAAACTCTCAACTCATGTTTTAAGCATATCTTCAATGATAAATGCTCATTTGTTTGTCAATGAATGACCTTCTGTTACTTTGAATCTGAGAATAAATACATTTGGTCCTGCAATTGATTCATTACATCACGTTACAGACTCTAGCACAACTCTTGCAGTTTAATCCAAGTCTTATTTTAACCAGAAGTATACTCAGTGCTGTCTAAACACAAGTGTTTAGAGGAATATCTGACTATTTAAAGATCAGACTTGGGATAAAATGCGGGGGGTCTTATGAAAGTTTGTAAACTGATGATTGGATATCGTTTTGCTGTTGGTAAATGTTTTCCCCATTTACTTCTCTACTTTTTCTATGTTATACAAATTGTGCTTTTGGGATAGATGTATGCTTTAACTGTGGCAGTAAGAGAACATAATGTCTGCTCACCTTGGCACTGGTAGCCCTGTTTTCCAAATACACCCCTATGAACAGAGAAAGAGACACAGTAAGATCCAGTACACACAGATACTGTACGTGCAGACAGCAGGGACTCTCACCAGATGAACTCTCTGCAGTGGAAACAGAAGGTGGGTTGACGGAGGAAGGTAGACATGAACTTGTGTCCATTGACCTGGTGGATCCTCCGCCTCACGGCCCCCTGTCGCTTCCTCGTGAACTGCTTCTTCTTCTCTTTCACTATGGCGTCGTCTGACAGAAAACAATGACAAGGAAAGTTTGTTAAGCGCAAAAGAGACGAACAAAAAGAGAGCGACAAAAGGACTTTTCTAGAAAAAACCTACCTCTCTGTGTGAATATTGATAATACATTAAATGTATTCATTATATTGTATTTAATTATTGCTATTATTTCATAATAATTATCATTATAATTGTATATGATGGTAAGCACTTTTTTTTAATACTGTTAAAAAGTGCTATAAATAAAGATTGTTAATTAGAATCGATAACCGCCATAATGTTGTGGGACTTATTTAAAGCAGATATAATCAATACCTCTATTTGAAAAATGGATCACATTACTACAACTATACGTGAGCAGACACCCACGATGAACTACATTTGGTTTTGCTCTAATAGCGTCATTTTCAGCCACGACAGGCTGCTGTTCAAGGCTGAAAAGCCCCCACAGATCACCCGCTGTACTCTACCTGCTCTGCAGCGAACAGTAGACAGACACATTTAGCAACTGGCTGGTTAACGCGGTGTAGCGCTCTGCATCTATAGGGCCATAGTTTCCACAGGCATGGTGCAGAGCGCTCAATGACAGTGTGATTATTGTTAGATTTTTGTTGGCTACAAAGTTCAATTTCAACTAAAAGTATTCCAGATGTTTTTGTTTTGTTTTTTGTGATCTTTACAGAAAGTGACATGGGTGTTTACATGGTTATTTGTCACCAGATGAATGTAAAGGGATATAAATGTAAGATTGGCTCGATATAGAATCACCTAAACACTGAAGCATAGACAGTCTTTGCATTTCAGAAGCTGGAAGCAGAATTTCTTTTGGCCTTCTTGCTTGATAACAATATGAAGTAAATTAATAAAAAGGTCATTTTCTTTTCATGATGGAATAATCATTAATCAACTAATTGTTTCAGTGCAAGCCAATCTTCTGAAATATTTTTGAAATATTTGCCAATGCCAATACTCCCTCTTTGACATGAAGTTCTCAAAAAGGTTTTTAAACGCAAACAAATATCGGAATAAGAAGAATGTAATCGATGTATTTTCCGACCCTAGCTGTTGTGTGACAAAGGTCAGCTAACATACAGGACAAGAATGTAAGACAGATATAATTAAAATGTCACATAGCAGTGTGTACATGTGCGTCTTCTACGTCTACCTTTGTGCAGCTTTCTGTTGTGGCTCTTTATGTTGTAGCTTGACTAAAGTATAAGCTAAGTGTTGTAGAGCTATAGTGAGATGATGAGAAACCACACATACATTACGGAAACATCACCGCTGAGCCCCCGCCTTCCCCCTGTAAACAGCATATATTTGTGGTAGAAGTGTGAACGTTTTTTGAACAGCGCGCTTTTACTCTACAAACCTTTTATCATATGCTCAACTGCTTAGTTTTTCTCTGTAAAAGGTCAATTGTACAATAATAAACCCATTCGTTTTACCAAAGGGATGTGCCTCGATCGGAAAAGTGTTGCTTTTTTTGTTTCCTCTAAATATTTGCATGGAATAGAGTTTAAAGGGCAATTAATGTCTAAGGCATGGACATTATTACGTATTATTAATTAAGTGTAATTCGCATGATAAGGGGAACATACTGTATGGTTTTCCAAATGAATGACCCTGAGGATATTTTAATGTGCACCAATGTCATTTGAGCTTTTGTTTCTCTTATGAGCAAATAGTTTTCCTGATGTAACAAATAGAAATAAAGCCGTTCATTGCATCCAACCATTTTTGAAGACTTATTACTCATTTTGCACACGTATAAAAATATATATCAATATCATAGAATAATCTTATTTTTAATCAAGCTATTTAAAGTTTAGATAATGCTATTGAAAAATATTTTAAAAAGAAAGGCTGAACATCTCTAGTGTTAGAGGCCTTTCTCATTTATTTCTTTATGATTAAATAAAATGTTAGTGTTTTGTGAGGTTTGGCAGGCAGTGAGGCATGCTGGCAGCAGATTAGAAACATGAACCATCAGAGGCAGAGTAGCCACTAGATAACAAGACTTCTGCTTCAAAAGTCCTGCAAGGTCACTTCCCTCTCGTCTTATTTCATTTCTTCAACTCATTGTGAAACCATGACGTAGATATCTCTGCTAAAGATGTCCTCAGTGTTGAAGTCTTCTGACGTCTAAAGAAAGCTTTCCTTACATCATAGAAATACCTCACATACCAGACACATACTAACCTCCCGAGTCACACACAAACATGCATTCACACCTTTTGTCAAGCGTCTTTTATTATTACTACACAGTTGGACTATGTATTTCATTGCTGACATCTGATTATTATCTAAAAACAGGTGTCAGTGTGTCAGACTGGAAAAGACAAGACGGTTCCTAAATGAGGTGGTATAATCGTTGGTGCTATTAAAGTGGATGTGAAAAAGAAACAAAACGGAAAAGTGTTTGAGTGCTGTTTCTGCATGGGAGGAAACATGAATCTGCCTTTAGATCCACAGTAGCAGCCTTACCATCAATGAAGGATCCAGTGAGTGCAATATGAACGAAAACCTTGCCCTCTGGCTCCAAGTCCATCTGCAGACACACAAACAGAGAGGGCAATTACATTTTGCATAGTCAAATAGCCAAACGGAGACAGTATGGAACAGATATTTGTATAGTCTAAAATTATACGACACCAAATCAACATTTGTATAATAAATTACATATATATCAGACAAAAGTAGAACAGAAATATGGCATTATATAACTATGCGTTTAGTTATTCCGCGTTAGTGCTTTAATGACAGTAACTGGGTTAAAACAGGCGTATGAGATGAGATATCATTCTTCAGTGTGTGTACATAATGTCGGAGGAATTTGGACACCGCAGCAGACAGAAAACAAAGCAGGTCTGGCAGGTCGGGCTGGTGGCAGAGTTTGTTGTGATTTGATGCTCAGCTGAGAGTGACACATGCCCCTTTCACACCAGCGCTTTTTCAGCTCCGGCTCGGAGCTGGAGCCTGAAAAGCGCCAGTTTTTCCTGTTCACACCGCAGCGGTGCCGGCTCTTAGCTCCGGAATCCGGTTCACTTCCAGCTCCAAAAAATTGTCGGTCTAGAGCAGTGCTTCTCAATGTGTGGTCCGCGGACCACTGGTGGTCCGTGAGCGCCCCCTAGTGGTCCGTGAGTATATTGGTAACATTTCACATTTGAAATAAATAAATACATTTAAGTTTTCCGCACTCTCGCGATAATATCTCCTCAATGGAGCGAGCTTAAGTTTCACTTTCGATTGCGTGATATAGCCCAGATAAACACCTTCACCCCAAATGTTGCCACTTGTTTGTACCATTTTCAGGCGATTTGTAAAAAACGATGTGTTTTGGGATATTTGTGGAGTTAGGTGGTCCGCGAGTGTTTTTTTATTGGTTAAGTGGTCCTTGGTATGAAAAAGTTTGAGAAACACTGGTCTAGAGGCAAGAGCTTCGGAGCTAAGAGGTGGCGTCGCTTACGTCTCTCTTACGTCGAGGCGTGCAGGAAACTAAACCCACCTCCCCTGAACATGGGTCGACTGTCATGCCTGCCTACAAGCAGTAGTACTTATAAACACACTTTATAAAGTCAGGCAACACTAACCAGGCTTCGTGTGATTCTGTTTATTTGTACCTTACTTTGACCATCCGTTCACTGTTATTGATCATTGTGGAGAGAGGCAGACGTTTTGTTTTGTATTATAGCAGCTATCGGATGGAATCAATACATGGGCTGCACAGGTTTTCGTGTCCGACTATCACAAGTAGAATCATAATAAAAATACGCCGGTAAAATGTGCCTGTAAAAAACGGTTTATGCCACAATAGGATAGCAATAGCAAGTAGTCAGTTTAGCTTCGGTTGCTATGCTAACATCACCCATTTTATACCAGAGAAACTTTCATAACAGCGTTGTGATGCCAAACAGCGTCAATTCAGACTGACACACATTCAGGGGAACTGGGGATATGTATCAGCTGCTTGTGTGAGTTGGACAGTGAATACTTTAGAGCGGCCGCTGCAGTGTGAGCTAACCGGGAGCTAACGGGAGAATAAACTCCCGTGGAAGAGCAGCCAACACTGCAGCGGTCGGTAAATGCCGCAGAAACACATTAATAAACAATGAACCACGGCACTGGAGAAAAGTACAAGGTTGGAGAAGTCGTTATTTAATTTAATCTGGCTTCGTGTGATTAAAAGCAACACGATCAAAACCTCTCTTAAAGAGCACCTTCGGGGGAGAGCATTGCAAAACTGGCCCCGGTAATGGTACAAATCTCAACCTGTCGTTCAATGGACAGCTTCCCCCCCCCCTGTTACTAACTGTATATCTGTAGACTTGGTATGTCTTAAATGTCCGGTTAGGATGTATTAGAACGAAATCTAAAATGCAAATTGTAAATAAGCAATCTGTATGTAAAAAACCACCTGTATGTAAATTGTAAATAAGCCATCTGTATGTCAAATATGTCTTATATGTCTTAAATGATATGATGAATTGGAAATGGGGGACCCTGATGTAAACAAGACGAAAGTCTTTCTCTGGTCTGCATCCCCTTAACAATTGTATGTTTTGAGCTGTACTGTACTGTACCCAATATACAAGCTGTTAATAAACTTTTCAATCAATCAATCAATCAATCATCGACCCGACGCAGTTGTTGTTGTTGTTGTGAGCGCCGTAACGCCGTTGGGGAGCAAATCAGCGATGTAAACGGTGACGTCATGACGCAGCAGCGGCAGCACCAGTCGGGCTCTGGGCGGTGTGAACAGAGCGGGAGCAGAAAAGGGAAACCGGAGCTGAACCAGAAAAGCTCCCGCTCGGAGCTAGAAAGGGAAAAGCGCTGGTGTGAAAGCCGCATTACAAATGTCTGAATATGCATTTAAAGCACTTCATACAGAAAAGGGTCTTTTTAGAGATGGATACACAGAACAGGAGATACTTCCTGTAAAAACCACTGAGTGGAAACGTAGGTCACTGTAAGGAGCTATTTATGCTACACACCCACCTGGAAAAGAATGGTTAGCCACAAAGAATTTCATGACAGGGTTAAATCACTTTATCTATAATTGTTTTGTAACCTCGTCATATCCTCTGGATCTACAGTCTATACATAACGTTTGACTTCCTGTCTCTGGTGTTTTCACCTTTGCTAACTCTAGCCATGGTCTACAGAAACTACAGAGCTGCAAAGCATTTCAGAAATGTCTCTTTCTAGTGAAATAGCTGTTGTCAAATCTGTTGTCAAAACCATACATATTGGCTAGAGGCTTGCCTTAAGAATAATGTTATCACAGAACTATGAAGGCGTTCCACTTTTCTGTCAATTTGATCTAAGTGAAGCAAGATATATTTAGTTGTTTTGTAGTTTTTCATGCTGAATGACTTATTTAAAAGAAAATATGTTATTATGTTGACCACAAACTGTTCTTTCTGCTGCCGTCTGGCAGGCGGTACCGCAGCATCAGGACTAACACCACCAGACTCAGAGACAGTTTCATCCCACAGGCCATAAGACTGTTAAACATCTGAACTTTTGAAACAACATCCACAACATTAATCTGGCTGCAATTTAGAAATTATTTATCTAACATCAGTCCGGTTCTGAAGTCTTTACACTGGCTTCCAGTCGACCAAAGTATTGATTTTAAAATACTATTGCTAGTTTTTAAATCACTAAATGGCTTAGGACCGAGGTATATAAACGATCTCCTGCATAACTATGAACCATCCAGGAGTCTCAGGTCCTTTGGGTCGGGTCTGCTCTCTGTTCCAAGGATAAGAACTAAACATGGAAAAGCAGCGTTTAGCTATTATGCCCCGACAATCTGGAACAAACTTCCCGAATCGTGCACGTCCGCTGAAACACTTCCTATTTTCAAATCCAGACTAAAAACATATCTCTTTGCCGCTGCTTTTAATTGAGCTGTTCATACTCACACTGCAGTATGCCTTTTATTCATGTATTCTGTACCTGCTGTGTTTATTTATTTATTTCATTATCTTTGCTTTTTATGCCTGTTTTTAAATGCCATTTAATAATGTGTTTATGCTGTATTTATTCTTAAATGTCTTTTGTTTTTATTTTGTAAAGCACTCTGAATCGTCGTGTGCTGAAAGGTGCTATATGAATAAAATTGCCTTGCCTTGCCTAATATATCATATTCAATCACTTGCATATAGACTCTTATTGCGCTATTCCACTATTTCGTAGTAACATATTTATTCTTGTTGTATTTACTTGCACTATTTTTTCAGTTTTTATTTGTTATTGTGTTGCACTGTTGGACTGCTGGAGTGGAGTGCACCAGCTGGGCGTAAGCTGGGCGTAACTCTACGTCCGACGTAGAACCGAAGGTTAAGACCAAACTAAAGTTATGACTAGTGCACCACTTAGACTTAAGCCCTGTATGCGTTGCGCCCGGGTGTAACTTTTACGCCTAGTATGGAGCAGGCGTAAATCGGAAAGACAGACTAGTATCCATAGTAACGTAAAACAGGCAAGAAGGATATTAACGATGGCAGGGCGTCTTGTTTACATGTTTAACAATGAAAGGGCATTAAGAAGAGTCTCAATTTCTCCTTCTCCAGCTCAATTTTTTCGTGTTCCGCTCTCAATTTGACGGTCTCCACCTCCACACGAACGATTTCTTTCTCCGTCAGTTCCCGCTGTAGCTCTGACAAATCCCTCTTTCTCTTTCGGGGTGTGGCCATTTGGGATTCCCCTTGAGTCATCGCTGACATTACATTACATTACATTGCATTTAGCTGACGCTTTTATCCAAAGCGACTTACAATAAGTGCGTTCGACCAACAAAATACAACTTGAAGAAAACAGAATCATATAAGTACATCAGGCTTCATAGAGCAAAAACATTTCAAGTGCTACTCAACTGGCTTTAGATAAGCCAGTCCTTTATTAGTATAAAAGTGCTTCGTTAATAGTTCTATCGCTCGAAGTGGAGTCGAAAGAGATGAGTTTTCAGTTTGCGCCGGAAGATGTGCAAGCTATCTGCCGTCCTGATGTCAATGGGGAGCTCATTCCACCATCTTGGAGCCAGGACAGCAAACCCACGTGTTTTCGCCGATGGGAACTTGGGTCCCCCCTCGCAGCGAGGGCGCAGCGAGTCGTTTGGCTGATGCAGAGCGTAGTGCACGCGCTGGGGTGTACGGTTTAACCATGTCCTGGATGTACGAAGGGCCAGATCCATTCGCAGCAAGTGGATTCTAGCAGTTACCGGAAGCCAGTGAAGGGAGCGGAGGAGCGGAGTAGTGTGGGAAAATTTAGGAAGGTTGAAGACCAGACGAGCCGCTGCATTCTGGATGAACTGCAGAGGTCGGATGGCACATGCAGGTAGACCAGCCAGGAGGGAGTAGTCTAGGCGTGAGATGACGAGAGCCTGGACCAGAACCTGAGTCGCTTTCTGTGTCAGCTGGGGACGTATCTTCCTGATGTTGTAAAGCGTGTATCTGCAGCAACGGGTTGTAGCAGCGATGTTTGCAGTGAAGGACAGGTTGTTATCTAGGGTCACACCCAGATTCCTTGCAGTCTCAGTCGGGGAAACAACTGAGGTGCCGATGTTGACGCTGTGGGTGTGGGTGTGGGAATTCCCTCTTCTCTGCGGTCCTCTGAGTCTGTAAAATGGTAAAATGGCGTTGCTTGGCAACAATTACTGTTTCGCATGTATTCACGTGGACGCGCATCTTAAGACCAGGCGCAGCTACGCCCGAGACTAGTCAGGCTTGGTGCACTCGGTGTAAATTCGAATCACTACGTCGGACGTAGCTAAGCCCGACGTTAGAGTTAAGCCCTACTTTTTTACGCCCAGCTGGTGCACTCCACTCCTGTGGCCTAAGAGTTTCATCGTCATAACTACACTGTAGCTAACTATGCATGACCAATAAAAGCCTTGAACCTTGATCTGGTTTAATCACCTAATTCAATTGAATTTCTTTAAGTTAAGACGGCCACTGAAGACTGTGAATTTTGTCCCCCGTCACTCACATTTGAAATACTTTAGAAATGGATGGTTAACTCTTTCAACTCTAGAATAGAAGTGTGTGAAAGCAGCATAACGATGTAGGTAAAAAGCAGAACACTTAATGCTGCATCACAAAGGAGGAAGTTCCTTTCTTTTTTTAAACAGGACATGGGTCCCGTTTCAGTCGAGCAAGCAGTACTCTTTGCTGGAAAATGTGAGGGGCTTTCTTCAATCTACTTTCAATCAGAAGGACTTGATTGCTTAAAGAAACCTACATATTGTGAAATTAAAGAGCTCAGTGGAACGAGTCAAACATGTCACAACATAGTGACATGTAGTGTCAACAGGCAAAGGAAACTGGCCTCATGTGTCTAAATGTTATATGGTGAATGTCTCAGACTGATGATGTCAGCGCTGACAATGATTTCAAGATAAAAGAAGGAGTTGAATGACTAGAGATCAAGTGTTTTTGGGGTTTAAGTTCATCAAACTGGACTCGGCGTACAGACGGGGGTGAAGAGAGATATATGGAGCACTGACAGTGAGTATTTTCATAGTGAGCCTTCAAGCAGTATTCAGGTGATGGGAATGCTGTGATAAGCAGCAGCAGCGTGGGCGTGTGCAGGCTTGAGCCTCAGTCTCTGCTGCCTCACACTTGAGACAAACCAGCCCAGCACTTCTTGTGCAAAAAAACCCTTTCACAGTTAGGATTTAGCGGATAACAACTTCAAGCAAGGGTATTTTCGTGAGAAAGTTAATCACATGTTCTGAAACTGCAAGGCATGCTCCACTTTCACACCACCTCCCCTTAACTTTTGAGGGTCTTGGTATAGGTGTGGGCATAGCTTTCTCTAACGATTTTTAGAATTTCATTTCTAACTTCTTTGTCAATGTACTGCTTAAAATATACATAAACATGTACATTTTTCACATAAGGATTTGTATTTATCATCGTTTTTACTCATATAATTAATGTAATGCTGGAGGAAGAGAAACTTGTTTGCCTTGAATATTTACTGATTTAAATGTATGTACACTCTTTATTTGTTTATTTGTAAATGTTTTCTTTACTTTTTTTTATCTCTTTTGTATGTGTTTTTTTTGCTTTGTCAAAGCAAGTGGTAAATATAGCGTCTTGTCATGGACGTTCTTAAGGGAACCATACTCGATTGTTGAAATACTTGTCAAGCTATATTGAAAATTCTATAATTATAGTGAAAATGTGTGTAAGTGCCACATTTGTCAAATTCCATATCGCTGCAACTTTTCGACAGTGCATTGCAAGGTCATAGTAAATGTCTGGTGTGAGGTGATCAAATACAGAAGTGGACAGATGGTCAGTGAGGTAAGGTGGACAGAATTTACATTTTAATTATGATTTTTTTTACATTTAAACTAGTGGTATTTAAGCATTTGCCCCCAAAACTACTTTTTGCTGCATAATTCAAAAAACTGTATTGTCGGTAGCCAAATGTCAGTAGAAGAGAGAAAGCAGTAGGTAGTGATACCAGCGGGCCGAGACAGGCTCATGTTACATTCACCAGCACCTGCACTGGCTAATAATCCTAGAAGGATGCAAATAAGCAAGACCAGGGAAACTCCAGGTGATCAGTTTTTTGTGTATGTCTGGAAGACAGTGAGACTAATACGATACTCTACGTAAAGCATTTAATCTGAGCTTTGATGTGGTGCCTTTTTGATCCTGAACTGTGCATTAGGAAGTGTGGGAGTTTTATCACCACACATTTATTTGCACATGTAGGTCAAATGTTGTGCAGGCAAGTCAGATTGTGCACTCTGCATGGAAGAAGAACAAGTCTTTATAAGCAGAAATAGCACCTTTCCACAGAGGTGGCAAATGTGGTTTCAGACCACATTGGCCAATGATCTAAGTAGAAGCTTCTAAGCCAATGAGTGCAAGACATGAGAGGTCCATGTCCGCTACATACTGCCCAAACTGAGACATAAAGATGTGAATATGTGAGGGTGTGAACACTGTGAATACAAGGTAGTGGGGATGTTTTCAGCAAGAACAGAAGCCAACGTTACTCACAGTGACGGGGAGATGTGTTGTGAACAAATTAGCATGTTTGTTTCCCAAACCTGCTCTCAAACACTGTTTAGGAGAAATTAAAAATATTCACACAGTTACTATAATGTCCCATAAGGAGTCTACATAACTTCTGACCTATCAGTTGACTTTTCATTTTGAATCTACCTACAGGAACTACATTTTAGTAAAGTAAATTGAGAAATACTATTAGAATATTCATGGTTGAAATTTGAGACTATAGGTTCCTGTACCAAATATGAGATTGGACTGGTGGGGGTTTAAGTGCTCCGTGCCTCCTTAAACCCTAATGATTGTGTCAGTAGGCCGATATCACAGCCATGGATGTGTTTGTTCTTCTCATTGTCATGATGTGATAACCATCATTGAAACACATTAAACCTGGGGTCAGTTATTGTGTTGTGTTGACAAATCAATAAGTAAAATAATCACCATTAAAAGGGATTGTTAATATTATTTTTTGATGCATATGCCAGAAAAAGTGGTGGTGTGCCCTCCAATATGGAGACATCCTGATTTTGTTCAGTTTTATATCAAATTAAACTAAATATATTTGGGCTTATGACTACAAATTGCAGTCTATATTACTTTGGACTTAGAGAAATGGGAAAGAACTTTCTAAAAACAATCAATGGAGGGAATAAAAGGCAGATAATCGATAATGGAAATAATTTAGTTGAAGGATATTGGGGTGGGGATGTGTCAGGGGGGGGCAAAGGATACATGTGTTCCCCATAGCATCCTAATAAATGAATCCGGCCCGGATTAGGGTCATTAGGATCTGAAACCATGTTTACAATAAATGCTCTTACTAGTAGGCAGTGTTTACTTCGCACTCACCCATCCATCGAAGGTCTCTCCTGTGTTGGAGGTTTGGATGAGGTCCTCAAACTGGATGATGCAGTTGGCCACAAAGTCATCATATCCGATGGGAGTATCGTGAAAGACTGCCAACTCGATTTGTTTCCCGTCGCTCACGTTGAGGCAGAACTCCTCGTTGAACGTCGGTGTGTTGGTTTTCTGTTTGGTGAGAGTTTGTCCAATTTTCGTGTCGTCAACCTTCACCACAATGTAGGGGTCCAGGCCGGGGGGGGCTTTGTTGAAGATGACCGAGTGGCGCAGGGAGAAGGTGGTGGGCTTCAGGCCCACCGCCTCACCGATCCGGAGTTTCAGATAGCCATTAAACTTCATGTTCACACAGCTAGTTCAGCCACAGGCGAAAAAAACACTCAAAATGCGGAACAAATCACTTAAAGAACATTCATGCGCACATCAACACTGACCAATGAAAGATGGGTTCATAGTTTACGCTCCAACTTGATGTCTGCTCTTTGTTGCATTCATTCTGATTTGTACCTGATCCAGGCGACTCTCAGCACGGATATGTTTCTGACACACAACGCTCCTCTGTCTCGGTGTGAACCTGTTTGCAATAAGTTTCAGTAAGGAGGAAGCCACAGCACATGCATGCAGAGGAGGCGCCAGTTCCGCGTAACAAAGTCACGGAAAACACACAAACACGACACACACAACCTGTCACTGTTGGGTTGGTATGTCACATGGTTAGATTTGTAGTTCTTAGTTTATAAAGAGGAGTCTGGAACTACGTTCACCACGATGCACCACTGAAGGTGTTGTGAAGGCTCACCTGTCCTATGCTGAGTAGAGAAATGGCGCCGTCTAGCGGACAGTATAGCAAATGACAGAACAGGGCTTTCTCCCTTCCTTTCTTTCTTAGTTATCCAATTCTGCACTGTAACCTTTAATCTTAAATTGTATACCTATGTTTTCAAATGTTGTCTTTGCTCTTTTTGTGTTTAAGATTTGTTTATTTTGCACTTCAACGTATTGATTTTGATCTTTAGCGTAGAACAATTTATTTGTGTAAATGTACTAAAACTAACCTTGCCAGAAAAACACTAAACTATTTCCTATGGGCTGTAATTTTAGGGCTGAATGTATTTGTAAATATTAATAATAAATAAATGCATTTCGTGTTTTTCTCCCAGAAGCCAAAGGTCGGGACTCCTCATTCATTTTGGAAATTAAAAGGGAAATTAATCATAATGTTGGGGGACTAAAAGAAAAGAGAGACAAAAAATGGTTTTACTGTGAGTAGCTTGAGATGGAAAAAGGAGGATATGGATATGGCTCAGCTCGAAGTGCATTTAAGACTCGACACAATTCTACTCATGCATTTAGGTAAAATGAAATGCTGTGACACACTGACATCACAACTGTAGAACAACCTGTGATGGTTTACATTTGTGATGACGTGATTTTTCTAATTAAAAGTCAATCATCAGGATATAAAAGTCAGAGTTAGGACTAGGGAAAAAAAGTCCAAAATACTTAACATAATTAAATCCAGCTTTTCAAATGCGATATTTGCTGCTTTTTCTGTTTTCTCTAGTGTCTACTCTTACCAGTATTGTCCCTTTTTCTTATCTTCTTTAAATGCAATTCTCTCTCCTTTGCGCTCTTTCTCTCTTCCTCTCTCTGAAAGTGCTCTGCCTGCTCCATCCATAAATGCCAGGATCAAAGTCTCCACTTTATTGGTGTTAGACTTGACCTCTGACCCCACTCTGCCAAATGTCAGCGCTCCCCATCTCTCTGCACTGCTCCAGCTGTTATAAATAAAGGGCCTGGGTCCCAGATCTTACACATCCCTGGGATACAGACTGTCTTGTAAACAACATCTCAGACATGACCTTACTGAGCAGAGAAGGTCGTAATGATAAAGCACGCAGATAGCGGATTGCCTCGGTGAAGGAGTGTGAATACACTCAAAGCCATCAGCAGCAAAGGCTTGATAATTTCTGATGGACCTGACGGGTCAAAGTGAAACATTTAGCACCTGGAATTGGTGCTGCAGATCACTTCAACCAGCAAGCGTAAACATGCGAATACGTTCACGCTAACCTTAAAGTCAAGGTCTTTTAATGGTATTTGTGAGCCTGGACAATACGTAAGAGGTTATACATTGTGAGTGGTGAGAGTACCTGTTCACTGAAGCTCCATGTAAGAAAATATTTTATGAAGAGACCCTACCGGAAAAAAATATATATAACTCATACGTAGCACCGCATAACCTGATTCCATGGTTTTGTTTACAGGTTTTCTTAAATTAACAATGCATTTTCCCATTTTACAAAATACTGAAATGTTTACACAAACTAATTAGCATAAACACCCAGGACATACATCTGAACATACAGTAAAGAACAAAGATGCATATTCATTTGGTTAATATACTAGAGTCAGGTTTGTATAGAGGGATGACTCCATAGAAAACAGCCTTAAAAAATCTATTTTTGCAATGTTTTAAGTAATATCATTTTAAAAGCTTTAAATCACAGAATGAAACGCTTCAGAATATTCTTGTTGATATATATATTTTATATATAAAATTAGCAAAATGTGTCACAAACTAAATTGATAAGTGCATAAACAGTTGTCACATTGTCCAGCAGATGGCATGACAAGACTGTTACATACTTTTTCCCACCCTCCTCCTCCTCCTCCTCCTCCTCCTCCTCCTCCTCCTCCTCCTCCTCCTCCTGCTCCTCCTCCTCCTCGCTGCTTGCGTCTCTATTATGATGAAGCAACTTTATTTCACTTCCTCTCTCCCTTGTCTTACCCTGGAGCCAGAGCTGGCACTTTAATGGTCTTGGATGATTTATTTTTGTTTCTTTGTTCTACCTGCAGTCTCCCTCTCTTTCTCCCTCTGTCTCTCAGCTCTGTGGCCCTGCATCCCTTCCTCCTAATTCCAGTCTAACCTCCTCTCTGTAAGTGGTTGCCAAATCTTGAATTATGCACCCATGGGAGAAGTCTGCAACTTCACATGACTCACACAGATCTGAGAAGACAGACTTGTGGGATTCATGTGTATGTACACACACAGACACGTGTGACACACATGAATGAATACACTTCTGATGTATCTCCTCAACATTTCATTGCACACAAGCACAGAACCAGCTACCAGAAGCCTGCCATATTTCAGGCCGAATCTGTGTATATGACTTAATTTCAGCCACCTGTAGAGTTTCCACATTCACTTCACAGCCTACGCTCCGATTTATGTCCGTGTAACCCAGGACAGCTCAATCCTCTGGCTCCCTGCCCAGGTACACCCTATAGCTGCAGCTAATGAACCATTGGTGCCAAACAGGGCAGCGGGGAGAAGAGAGCATGGCCCAGAATTTGGCGAAGCCCATTCCCAACTCTTTTGACCCCGGTGAGAGAAATCCTGCGGGGCTAGTATACACCCCACCGCACCCCCTGCACCACCACAAACTCAATTACATCCATCAGTCACTGTGCAGTGGAACTAACCCCCATCCCACAGTCACAAGACCCCAGCCTCTCCTCAGGTATAGAAGCCTACACACACACACACACACACACACACACACACACACACACACACACACACACACACACACACACACACACACACACACACACACACACACACACACACACACACACCACACACACACACACACACACACACACACACACACACACACACACACACACACACACACACACACACACACACACACACATCCCTGGGGCTGCCAGCGTGGAAGCAGGGGCACTCCATAAATCACACCTGTAAAATCAGATTTGGTGCTAAATGTGCTATATTCACAAGTGGTGTTTACTGCCAGTGCTCTACCGCAGGAAACATGACTTAAAGCGTACTATTGTGCATACAATTCTACCACAATGAGAAGGCCATGAGTATTTAGTGTTCAGTCTTTAGAGCTGCTGTAAGGAAATGAGGGGATATGTGTGTAAGTTCATGTTATTATATATATATATTTTTCAAATGATTACTATATCTTTAGGTCACCTGATACTCTTCTCTAATCAGCTGATAAGTTAAGAAGAAATCCTTGATCAGTAGAGGATGTGTTTTGTTTGTTAAGGCAGGGCAGGAGAAGAGGAAAGGGGACCGACAAAAATAAAGAGTGGTGTTGTGAAAAATGGAGGAATGTAACTGTGAGAGTGGTCGGAGCTGTGTTGGACAGCGGAGTGGGGGGGGGGAGCTCTGTCACAGCCCCTCCAGGGTAATTGGCTCCAGATGTGAGGCAGCGTGGCCCCTGCGCCAGCGAGGCGTCAGGGCCGCATTAAGAGCTCAGCTCACTGCTGATGGGATCGCAGAGAGACAAACTGACCCCTACACACCCCCCCAAAAACACAGTCTGAACCCCATGCTGTGCTGCTGACCACTGGGCCTCCATCAGTACTCGTCCTATACCTCTCAACCCCTGCTCATCATCTGCCAAAATAACCAAGCACAGGATTGTAAAATCCCCCTTTTTTATTTACCAAAGTCTTATCACACCCTTGACCCTGATTTCTGTGCTGAAAATATCAAATCTGTTACTCTATCTCCGAGGATGATTATGTGGTGACTATAGGTGACAGCAATCTTTGGTCTATTCTGTCTTTGTGTTGCTGCCATTATGTTGGCCCTATTTGTGGACTGAGTGTGTCAGGCAATTATTTTGCGAACAATGTTTGAAGACGCTCAGTTCGAGACAGCAACATGTGTGTTGCACAGTTTTAAGTGTGTTTGGTGACTGACAGCTTTGCGCAGCACGTGGTGCTCTCCAATCCACAATGGAAGATAAGGTGAAGGACCAACACTCTTCTCACACGTGCATCATGAATGTAAAGATTTCCAATGTTATACATAAAGACCCAGATAAGCACAGCCTGGAGAGCTTTTGATGAATAGGGTTGCACTTCATTTGCCTGGAGTCTTGTTAGATCATAGTGTCCTAATAAGAAATATACTTTACTTATTTATTGGCCTTGATGTGACTTCACAAAAAGCATGAAGAAACTTGAGTGTAAAAGGAATAAATTCCACTATTGCCAGAGCATGTGCTGTCTGAAAAAGAGTCCTCAGAGCGAGGAATGCTCTTACTGTGACCCAAAGAGCATGTTTACTGATAGAGCATGGAAATTGATTAAAAGCAGAAAAGCAGCATGGAGTGGTGGTCGATGAAGAGAATGAAAGGGAAGAGAAAATATAAGATGGAGAGCACTTCATCAGTGATGACACTTGCATATCGATGGCATTTGCTGAGTTGCAGTCCGCCACCATGACTAACAAGGAAAAGCACTCATCATGCCAACCAGCATTAAAGAGCTCATGTGAAAAGACCCTTGAAGCACCTTTCAGCCAGGAATGCCTGTTGAACAAGATTATACGGGTAAACAGAAAGCAGATGTGCATGTTCTCAGCTCTGCTGCACTTTCTGACATCCACTATCTGTGAAGGCCTGATCAGATGTTGTTGTTGAAACACAAACAGGAAGAGGAAGTGGATTTTAGCATTGGCTCTGCTTTCTGCCCGCTAATTTGAAGAGGGCTGCAACCACCTCACCACAAAGACTAACTGAAACATCTATGGGGCTGTCGAGTGATGCCTGCAGATTGAATCAATTTATTTCTGTCAGATGTACACAAAAGGTCCTGTCAGATAATCTCAAGTACCACGTCCACTTGTTTTGACTAACTATTAAAAAAGATATTAGCCTCTGTTCAGCTAACCATGTGTCCCCTTTATTCATAACCTTTAGTCACATTTTTCAACTGTTGTTTCATTACTTTTAGCCATCATTTTTTTTTACAGTTTATCCTCTACTTTTAGTCAACAATTTTAACATCATAAATCAGTTACTTTTAGCTAACATTTTCAACTGTTTATTCTATTTTCTTGCAGAGTCATTTTTATACTCTCTCAGGGCTAATCATCACAACAATTTGTAAAAGCCTACTATTTATGGAAAGACATTGAACTATATTATATATAGTTAATTAGGTACAGAAAAGTTGGAATTCACTAATTTAATATATGAAGGCACTTGTATCAAACCATAAGATGTCAAACTGTTTTAAAGTTCATAGTGGTGACATTGGGATCAGACCCAGCTGTTGCCCAAAAATCCTGATTTCCAACAACAGAAAATAATTTTCAAAGAACACAGTCGACTCCTCTTAAAACAATACAAGAGCCGAGGCTGCCAACAGGGGATTGATTTCAGCCCACCATCGCTCCTCCGCCTCATTCCATCCTTTAACCCTGGGAGATGGTGTTGTCATACTGCTGGACACGGGCCCAGGGTGTGAGTGAGTTTAACTAAACAAAAACACTCCCACCCTGTGACGAGGACTCATGCCCCAGTCAGACGGACCTCCATAAAAACACTCTGGTCTGTGTTAACATGCATGTTTCCAACACATGATAAAACTGGAGCATCTGGTTATCTATTCCTAATTAGGCGTTCATAAACCAAGAGAGGAATGTCAATGAAAGAAGAAGAGCTGGACTGCTGTGAACACAGTCTGACACTAGGTGGTATTCTTGTTTTGCAAATGGGTTTAGGTATGTTGTTCCCAAAGGAGCATATGTGTAGGAGTCAGAGTTTGTTTTTTATTTTTGAAAGAGCTTAGGTTTCCATAATTATGTTGACAGACGTCTGGTGATGGTCACTGAAAGTGCTGAGGAATTACACTTCTACTGTACAGCATTTCTGAGGGTCATATTGTTTAACTCAACTACATTATTTCACAGCTGTTTTGTTACTTTTCAGATCATGGTTTTACATGCATTCCATTTGATACGCTTTTTAAATATTAACATTTAAATGTTAAAGATTAAACCAGTGGTTTTTCACTTTTTGGCTTGTAAACTCTTGCCAATTTCAGGTGTCTATTGTTATGTTGGAGGAAACGAACTCGAAGTTAAGAACTATTGAACTACTCAATAGCACTTTAAACACCATCAAGAGGGATGTGCTACTTACACAGTAATAGGTTTGTAACAAAAATCTATTAATCCCATATATTATAAATACAGCAGACACAAAGGCCTTTTTTGCAGAAAGTGTACTTTTACATGAGGCAGAGTTTTAATGCAGGGCTTGTGATATTATTTTTGTTTGATTTGCACTTGGAGCTAAGTAAAGGGTCTGAATATTTCTTGCACCAAAAAATATATTTTCAGGCTTGATAGTGGTTTGTGTGTGCTTTCTTCATGGTAGTGTCCTTCAAAGTGGAGGATGGGATATTTCCTGGACTGGGGAACCTCTTTAAGGGGGCGTGAAGGGCGGGCAGCCACTGCTTTGTGCAGGGCCGGCGGGGCCCTAATTCCTCAGATTAAAAGCAGCAGTCAGATGGCTGTATGTTCCAGAGGCAGCATGAAGACAATCTAAACAGCATCATGATTAGAAACGTACCGAGCATGTGGCTTTGATTAACTGCAGGCTGAACCCACATCGCTGAGGAGCCGGTCTCAGTCTCCACACTGAGCCTGCCAGTCAAACACAGCCATAGACATGACATGTTGGACTGATGAGCTTCCCACTAATAAACACTAATAAAGACAGGTTTGTGGTTAAATGAGCAGACGCACATGTCAGTTCATAAACAATTTCCCTTTTATTGAATGCCAGTAACCTGAAGAGTTATATTTTTCAAATGTGCATAATAACCTCATACAGTACATTGGAATTTACAGTTTTTTTTGTCATATACATCAAAAAAGGTAAAGAATACAAGTAGCAGCAGACATAATCATACCTGAGGCTTGGAAAATCAAAGACAATCATTAAATGATATAAAACAAGTTTAAAGAGGGGGAAACAAGTGTGGAAAAAAGCATTTAAATACATTTTGGAATGAACATTTGTGATTGTGTGTGTAGAAAAAAAAACTGTGAATATGTTCCATAAACAAAACTTGAAAAAGGGACATTCATTAAGGCTACGACTTGGTCAACAGCGTTTTAAAAGTAGTAGCAGAATGGTTTACATTCGATGCGTAATCACCCCAGAGAACAACAGGCTCTTAGAAAGAAAAAGAAGTACATACAAAAAATAAATCGGTTTGACACAATAAAGGCCTATCTTTTGTTCAAGGCTGATTACAAAAAAAATAAGATTTGCCCTGAATTGGCGCATAATCTAAAAGCAAGCATGTAAAAATACATATAACATTTCAAATCCTTTATTTGTTCGGGCTTATATGTGCAGAGTTTGGTCTATGTTTGACGAGCCTGGTATTAAAAACAACGTTAACGTATAAATAATCTGCCTGAGGTAATGCTGATCAGCATCTGTCCGTTCCCTTCCTTTATCCACTACTCACTATCTTTGGCACGCATTCTCCTTTCTTTGCTTCGCTTAATTTGGGTAAAGGGGGCCCGACGGGGTTAGGAGTCATTTATCCATGTGTTGGCAATGACGGAGAAGCTGATGATGCCCATAATGAAACCAGAGACCACCAGAAGTACAGCCTAGAGACACAAAGAGCATAAACAACATAGTTAACATCATTAACAAAAAGGATATGTTCAAAATAATGTAATAATACAAATGTAAGGAAAATGGGCTCAAACTGTTTTTGTTGCTTACATATATGAGTATTTAATATACAGTACATCTTTATATAGATTATATCTGTGATTATTTACCCCAATGGAGTCAAAGGATCTGAGGGGTCCTGGGTGGATCTTGAGGTAGAAAATGCCGGGGTAAACAAACAACAGGCAGGTGGAAGTTGTCGATCCTGGAGAAAGAAGCAGGATAGTTACTTTAAATGCAAAGACAACACAGTGTATATGTCTGACAATAGCAGCATCATAAACTGTTTGAGCAGGACTGCACCATTAATTATGTATAAGCAGATACTGTGAATTTAGCCAACACGATCAATAACTGTGGAATATTGACATCTTGGCTGAGAGCTTGGCTGCTTTAATGTCTGCTGCAGTTGAAAACAGATCTGAATGTTTAAAGGTCAAGCTAAATGATTGTCTGTAAAATAACAAGATGAATAATCATAGGATTTATAAAGACCAGAATAAAGAGAAATTATTTTTAAATGATACATACCCACTACTCCAAACACATTTCTGATGTCAGGCACAAAGAGGGCCAACAGCAGCCCCACACTCAGGATGGTGAGAGTTGTAATGATGTGGTTCAGCCAGGAGAAGGGCCGACTTCCAAACAGCATCAACACCACAGCCTTGCGGGCCTGTACACACAAACAAAGATGAATCCAACCAAACATACGCAGAGAAGATGTACTGTATTAACAAGCTGAGCAAACGTCTGGCAAGAGAGAGTTAAAGCGTTAGATCTTTTTGTATCAATTGGAAGCAGCAAATCAGCAAATGTACAGACACCCAATAAATATGAAATTCAGCATTATAAATACATACACAACACAATTTTATAAAAAATATGAATAAATCTACCTCTATTGCTCAATCATCAGTTTAAAAATTAGAATAATTACCTAAATAACTAGAACTATGAACATACAAATAAAGGACTCCTGAAACTAATAAATAATCAAATAAGACATTTGACATCAGAGGCTTGTGAAAAAGTGCAGCAACTTTAACTATTTCCTGTTTTCAGATGATTTCATAGAATTGAGTAAAGAACCCAAAAGAATAAATGAAGAAATGGGAAATGTTTAGTTTGTTTAAAGAATATAATGAGGTTGCTGTACTCACAGGAAAGTGAATCAGGGGTACAGTCAGCAGCACAGAGAGCAGGATGGCCAGGCGAACCACCATCACCATGATGTCCCGAGACATAAACGCGTCGTAACTGAGCAACAGCTCAGAGTCCACATGAGCTGTGAGCCGGAGACAAGGACAGAGTGAGGGTGCAGACATGAAAGGGCTTGAAAAGAAGCAATGAAACTGGGAGGAAAATAACTTGGATGCTATGAAAAGAGAAATAAAAAATGAACTTCAGAAATTATAGAATAAAACAACCAGTTATACAACTAATATTTTAATTGTATAGACACTTTATTTTCTCCCAAAGGACAGATACATTAATTTTGTATGAAAAACCAATGGAAATGAAAATAAATAATATATACAAAAGTAAAAAGATGGTGGCCTTGCTGCTATAGCTCTGTGTAAAAACCTGATTCTGATTAATCGGTCTTAAAAGAAAGGCTATGTTTAACTGAGAAAAAAAGACTGCAAGAAAATATTCAGATACAACAAACTTGTGTGTAGTTTAATATTGAATGTGTGTAAATGTGTAGTAAAAATACATATGTTGAGAAGTAATTATAGTAAGTAGTTGCAGTAAAGTGTGCATGCTTACCGTAGAAGCTGAGGTATCCAAAGAGCGCAGAAATGAGGTAAATGGTGAAGCTGAGGCTAATACTGACATTTGTAATGGTCTGCATCCTGGCCTTACTAGGTCTGAAACACACACACATATTCAATGAGAACATTTAGTGTTTACGCGGATGGTGAACATATTTGATCACTTGAATAAAAACAGTAAAGGCTGCAGTGCTGACCGGTCCAGTTCGCAGTAGATTGGAAGCACAGTGGTGTGGCACAGGAAGGAAAAGGCCATGGTGGGGATGGCGAAGCCGCTCTGCAACACACATCAGAGCACAGCGGTCATTAACAAATTATCAGCTTACACTGCTGCACAGGAGCGGGGGGGCAGGGGGTCAAGGTATGGTTTGTGTAGCAGTAATTACCGTCTGGGCTGCATGAGTGTGACAAGGTCAACTTTTCATGAGCACAGAAAACCAGCACCTTCTCAGCTTTGTGAAGACGCACTTCCAAGCTGATCCGAGAGGTTTAGAAAAAGCTTGGATAAGTTGGAACATTTTTAACTATTCATTTATTAAAATCACAAGAGACAGGAAGGGTATGAAAGGCTGTAATCTGTATTATCTCTGAGATGTTGAGGAGTAGAAGTATAAAGTTAAATTAAAACACTTCTATAGTAGCTACATTTTCTACTAAAGAACAATACTTGATTCAATTAGAGTGGTGCATTCCACCACAGCTTTTTAAGATCTTCTCACAAAACATTGTCCAGTTATGTTTAAACATCTGTACCACACATTGTATTTCTGCAAGTACATTACATGTAAAATAAATATGAGTGGCAGCTGCATAGTGCACCGGAGTTCCTTACATATACAACCCAACCTATAGAAAAGAGTGCGACCTGTCACCAGAGTCCAAGAAGTGCAGCAGATCTACTTTCAACAACTTCCCTCTGCCCCCTCACAGGAAGAGAGAAAAAGTCTGCTTTCATACACGTACCTTACTGGAGATGATAAAGAGTTTGGGTGTACAATCTGAGTCAGAGGAATTTGATATCTGCAGAAACAAGGAGAGAATAGCGAGCGTGTGATTTCTGAGATGAATTCTGCAGTGCTGCTGCAAATGGGAGAAACACATCTAGATTTCATTGCCCGGCTTTAGAGATATAAAGGGGAAAACAACCATGCCAGTCTGAAGCCATACTTTGGTTTGTATCATTTCAAGAGGCCACAGGTCATTTCCAGACTGATGCAAGGTCACCCGGACTTCCTTCCCCTCAGGACTGGCACCATTCACCACACAGAGCTCTCTGGTCCTCATCAGCCAGAGCCAACATAATCAGTAAACCCCTCCTCCTAATCCTGTGGCCGTGACCGTCGACCAGACTGCACGCCTCAGGCCTGCGGTATCTTATGTATGTGTGTCTGTGTGCACGTGGACATAAATACAAGGAAACTGGGGTTGTTGTTGTTACCTGGAATGCACCTGAAAGTAGCGTCATATTGTGAGGCAGAGGACAGGGGATGGACCATTTCTTGACCACAACCTGTAGAGGAGACGAGACAACATGTCAACAAAGGAAACATATATTTGTAAGGATGCACTTTGCTTAATCCTGCCATCTAAAAACGCATACTTAAACTATGAAACAAATATTCTACTATCCTGAAGAGCCACAAATGAAACAGACATGCACTACTGCTGCTTCTTTCTTTTTTTTTCAAAACACTTTTTCAAAACACTTTTTTCCTCCTTGATATACAATCTAATTATTTTGGCCAGTATATGACCAATACTGAATACTGGGTATATGTAAACTCACCACAACTACAAAATACAGCATAAAGAAAAAGGCGATGCTGCTGGTATATCCCAGGAAGCCTGTGAGGGTGAGAGAAAGCTCAGGTAAGGAACAACAATTCACTCAAGGTCAGCAAATCCACTTGATTAACACACTTACCAATTTTAGGCAGCATTGCCAGAGGTACAATAACACACAGTGTGACTATGATCAGAAGCAATCTGCCATGCTCATACCAGGCATGTCTGAAAAAAAGAAAAGAGGACATTCATTATTAAAGGCCGAATCGAGGCACATTTCCCATCATGATCTACTAGAACCTCCAATGTGAGGGGCTACAAAGCTCAATCTTCAGGGCTTTTAAATGCACCAACTCTGTCAATTTGTCTCCATTTCGTGCTCAAATACAGAGCGACAGATTCATCATGTGGTACGAATTAAGGGCTTTAGTCCTGGCAAACCATAACAATTATGTAATACACATGCAAACTTTGTGTCGCTCCGTCAGATGAGACCGCATTTCACTTGCCGGGTTTTTCAGAGAGGGGGAATAATATTTTCCTTTGCTGAGGGGTAGCCTTGGCGGTTTTGTTTGGGAATTGGGGAGCTGAAGGAGGAGAAGTAGGAGGGGGGGGGGGGGGGGGGGGGGGAAGTGTTGGAGGTGACACATGTCGAAGGCATGCCGGCTCCGCTGGGGTCGGGGTCGGTGGAGAAGGGTGCTGCCTGCCGCTGCTGTATGTTGCAATGCAGCGCGGGGTCACAGGGGACTGGCTCCACCACTCTTTATGGGCTCCCACAGTCAGCAGCACCTGCTCCGACCACATCAACACCCACTGACCCCCGTTTGGCAGTTTCACAGCTGTGGCGCTACCATAGGCGCTGAAGGATTTGTCTCTGCGTCTAGGCCAGTCCTGCCCTGTAACTGGATGTCAGGGAGACCTCTGCTCCGACCCCGACGCTCTCTTGTCCAATCACTTCTACTCCAGCCTAAGTTTAACTGAACCACTCGACCGCAGCTTAGCTAACCCCCTCCTGCACTTTTTACAGAACATTATGCACACACGGGGATGTATAAAAATCCCATACACCACTAGGATCCATTCTCAGGAGGCTCGGGGGGGCTTACTGTAAAGGCGCAGGTTACCTAGAAGACCCATGAAATGTGGAACATTTCACGCTATGACAAGATGCACGATAGCTCTCAGTTAAGGTGGGAGTATGACTGCCAATAAGTCAATCTCCACATAGTGATGCAGCACAAACCCAAATCCACAGCTGTGCACGTCTTTGGCCTCGTTATCGAACTGAAACACGCAGAGAGAAACTCAAACAGGACACGCGGTCTATTAGCAAAAACTCTAAAAAAGACTTAGCACCACTGTATTATGATAAATGAGCCAGAAAACACATTAAAATAAAAAAACACTTTCATTTAATGTAGGCTCTGATGAGGCCGAGTATGTGTCTGTTAACATCCAAAGGCCACTCATTAACAGAAATGTTTTGCTTCCCTCAGCAGTGAGCTGTAATTAGAATGGCAAAACTGATATCCCCTTGTATCAGTCTGATTCCGGGGAACATGTGCGAGAGATTTGGGGGTGAAAGGAGAGCACTAATACAAAGCAGCTGTGCGTGGAAGATTCAGATGTTGACGGATTGGGCTGTGAGCAGTTACAACTCTCGCTTAAACCAGTGTGGCCAATAATAAAGTGATAGAAGTTACATTCTTGGCCTGGGACTCGCCTGTGAGTCCACGTAGGCCAATGAAAGACGCAGGCTGCTCATGATGGGTGATGTATGGCTCTCCATCATAAATACATTTCCTCTGGGCTCGCTTTATGCTGTACAGCAACGAGCAGGAGTCACTCTCAGACAAAGTATTAGTACTGTGGTTTGTCTTCTACCGCATCAGTCATACATTTCTCATTGCCCGATTAATACTAGTTTGTGTAGCTTTGTGGTGCAGAAATGTCAAGTTTGAGTTATTTGAAGGCCAAAGGTGTAATCTCCAACATCACGGGAACAGTATGACTCGTTCTTTATCTCAGTACTGTTAATCTAAAAGAATGACTTGGTCTGAGCCGCAGCTGTGACACATTTTGAACCAAATGTCCTCATTGGCCCGGATGGAGCTCATATATCTGAAGATACCCACACTGTTCTGTCTGGACTCAGGAGGCTGTCGATGGCTGCAGGAAGCTCCGACTTCAGGATGAACAAACACGATGACATGCCTGAGTGAAGAGAGGGAAAAGGGTTCAGGAAAGGTATTATTTGAATATAAGTTAAACAAAAAAAGCACAATCATATCAAAAGACTGCATGTTGCCAAAAGCAATTTTACATTTCTGTGTGAGGGTGGTATGTGTTTCCAGCAAAAGGAAATGGAAGTCAGGGTGGAGGGGGTACTACGGCTCTGAGTTAATGCAGATGGGTGGGGCAAGCAGCTCAAGGGGATCACCAGCAAAGCCCTGGGTGCGGAGGAGCAGACGCTACGCAGGTCTTCCAACGGCTGGAGAGTGGAGCAGCAGCCAGGATGCAGAAGTGCGAGGAGGGGGGAGGAATGCTAACAATAATGATCTCTGACGCTAATCCAGGTATTTCTCCCACTGCTCCACCTCACTAGGAAACAGGATATTATCAGCCTCCGACTGGCTCCAACATCCTTCCCAAGGACGGCCAATCACAGAGGGGATCAGGGTCACTTCCTCAGGGTCATACCAGCCCCCAGAAACACCAGGAGGAAGAAAGGGAAAGGGGAGATGGAGACTGCACAAGGTGGGCAGAAGGTTTCTGGCTGAAACAGGACTCAGATGCAGTGTGTGCTCAGTCATAAAGGGAGATAATGTTGAGGGATTTAAATGTGTGCAGCCAGGCAGAGCCAGAGTTAGCTGGGCCCGAGGCAGGTCTTGCACTCGCCGTTAAATAAGCCTAGACCTTAATCCCTAAGATCCTGTATTTGTTTATAAAAGAAAATTCCTCCAATAACCCTCCAGCCCACACAGAGACAAGGACCCTCACTATGTGAATAACTAATGGCATTTATGAGCACTCAAATCTGTCCATAAAGTTATTCTGAGGCAGCAGTTGCTTTAGTGTTTTAGCCAAAAACTTTCCCCCCAAAAAAGGCTCAGTTTATACGAACCGCAAAAATAAAAATAAAATATTTTAACCACACAAGCTCATAAAGGCACACTGACGGGTATGTAAAAAACCACCTGTATGTAAATTGTAAATAAGCCATCTGTATGTCAAATATGTCTTATATGTCTTAAATGATATGATGAATTGGAAATGGGGGACCCTGATGTAAACAAGACGAAAGTCTTTCTCTGGTCTGCATCCCCTTAACAATTGTATGTTTTGAGCTGTACTGTACTGTACCCAATATACAAGCTGTTAATAAACTTTTCAATCAATCAATCAAAATCACACAGCAAGCATGATGCAATGGTTTAGTTTCAGGCAGAAGGTTACTGTAAGCACAACAACACTTAATACTTACATCTCTAAACAAAAAGGGCCCTTGAGTGAAGGAAAAGGCTTGTTAATGGCCATGTGGTAAGAAAACAGTCTTATAATAAGTAACAAGTCAAGGAAAATGGACGTAAACATTCTGTGTGTGTGGCCAGCAAACAGTAGGAGAGTGTGTTCAACATTAAGACAGAGCCACTTTCATTTCATTAAGAGCGAGGGGACAGGCAGGCTGTGAGAGCCCAGGGCTGGTCAGTAATTAAGGTCAATTGGCCCCTCAGCCTTTGGCAGTACAGATGAATGTTTACTCAGAGTGAGGCTAATTGCACTCTTATAAAAGGGGCCGGGGGTGTAGACAGATGCATGCTGGAGTGCTGGCTCTCACACTCTCACACATACTGCCCCATGCTGGGAAAACCACAAACATACCAGAGGGCACGGCAATAATCCACTCAGCCGTGCTCTAATGAGTGCGGAGGAGCGGTCACCTCAGCTCCCACCGTCTGAGAGGAGCAGTTTGTGGCTGAGGGACGGGCGGAGATGGCAGTAGGAGAGAGAAAATAAGTGTGGGAGGGGTGGGGAAATAAAAGGGAGGGGTCCCATTAGGTTACTCAACACTGGGTGGGTTTACCATCAGTGATCAATTAGACGAGAAGTCAGGTTTCAGGCCCAGGGGAGGGGAGGGGGCCGAGAGGACAGCGGCTAGAGAGCCAAAGGTTATCAGGGAGTCCGGATAATAGCCTCACAGGAAGAAAGGAGTGAGTCTGAGCTCAGATGCCTCCGATCACCAGTAGGAGGCACTATCTGCCCCCAAAATGCACCGGCCACAGTCTGACACTAGAGCAGTGTGTAGCTCTTCAACACTCTGCTTCTCAAAAACCACAACATCGGTTTATTTCCAACATGTCAAAAGAATTAAACAGGAGCTGACTTACCTCCAATATTTTGTATTATAATGGTAATTCCAACCAGAATCTGAAAAGAAATGTGAAAAGGTGGTTAATGTGAACATGTCTTCTGGTCATGTTGAATATTTAAGTGAATACATTTTCTTTGACAGGAAAAAAGACTCAAACCAAAGACAACACTTACTTTTCCTGGTTTTTGCAAGGCTCTCTCTCCAAGACCTTCATATGAATTGATACCTATGAGAGTCAAATCATAAACAATCAGGACTACTCCACTACCTAGGAGAGTACACATCATCCAGCATTGCATTTCTACAACATTGCCAAATATATGATGGACAGTTTAAAATGGAAAGTATCAACATTAGTGTAGCACAGCCAGAGAGAAGACACAGTCCAGGCATTCTTCCTACTTTTCAAAACCTGATGCCTACATTACCCACAATGCAAATCAACTGCCGACAGGTGTGTTATGCTAGTAGTGGCTTTTGAATTTATAGGCCTTGCACGATGACAAAATTGTCTTATAATGCCATATATACAATATGGACATGACCTAGGTAATTTTTGCTTAACATATTTCCTGTTGTGCTTAAATGCGTGTTTGTTTACTTATGAATGCCATCGATATTTAAGCTAACATAATGCTAAATAAAACAGCACGGTTTTCCGTACAATCATAAAAAAAAAATTGTAACCAGAACAAGAGAGTCAATTTTGCTTATAGTTTTATATTTTTCTGGTATTTTAATATACTGTTTTTTTACATTACATTACATTGCATTTAGCTGACGCTTTTATCCAAAGCGACTTACAATAAGTACATTCGACCAGGAAGACACAACCTTGAAGAAAACAGAATCATATAAGTACATCAGGTTTCATAGAGCCAAACATTTCAAATGCTACTCAACTGGCTTTAGGTAAGCCAGTCCTTTATTAGTATAAAAGTGCTTCGTTAATAGTTCTAACGCTCGAAGTGGAGTCGAAAGAGATGAGTTTTCAGTTTGCGCCGGAAGATGTGCAAGCTATCTGCCGTCCTGATGTCAATGGGGAGCTCATTCCACCATCTTGGAGCCAGGACAGCAAACCCACCTGTTTTCGCCGATGGGAACTTGGGTCCCCCTCGCAGCGAGGGCGCAACGAGTCGTTTGGCTGATGCAGAGCGTAGTGCACGCGCTGGGGTGTACGGTTTAACCATGTCCTGGATGTAGGAAGGGCCAGATCCATTCGCAGCATGGTAAGCAAGTACCAGTGTCTTGAAGTGGATTCTAGCAGTTACCGGAAGCCAGTGAAGGGAGCGGAGGAGCGGAGTGGTGTGGGAGAATTTAGGAAGGTTGAAAACCAGACGAGCCGCTGCATTCTGGATGAGCTGCAGAGGTCGGATGGCACATGCAGGTAGACCAGCCAGGAGGGAGTTGCAGTAGTCTAGGCGTGAGATGACGAGAGCCTGGACCAGAACCTGAGTCGCTTTCTGTGTCAGCTGGGGACGTATCTTCCTGATGTTGTAAAGCGTGTATCTGCAGCAGCGGGTTGTAGCAGCGATGTTTGCAGTGAAGGACAGGTTGTTATCTAGGGTCACACCCAGATTCCTTGCAGTCTGAGTCGGGGGAAACAACTGAGGTGCCGATGTTGATTGTTAGGTCAAGAGTGGGACAATCTTTTCCCGGGAGGAAGAGCAGCTCAGTCTTGTCAAGGTTGAGCTTGAGGTGGTGAGCAGACATCCACTGAGAGATGTCAGCTAGACAAGCAGAGATGCGTGCAACGACCTGGGTCTCTGAGCGGGGAAAGGACAGAATTAGTTGGGTGTCATCAGCGTAGCAGTGGTAAGAAAAACCATGCGGGCTAATGACTGATCCGAGCGAGTTTGTGTACAGGGAGAAGAGGAGGGGACCAAGAACAGAGCCCTGAGGGACCCCCGTAGTTAATTGACAAGGGTCGGACTCAGACCCTCTCCAAGTCACCCTGTAGGTACGGTCTTTCAGGTATGAGGTGAGGAGGGAAAGTGCAGAGCCTGAAACTCCAAGTTTTTGGAGAGTGCGAAGGAGGATCTGATGATTCACCGTGTCGAATGCAGCAGACAGGTCCAATAGGATGATGACAGAGGAGAGGGATGCAGTTTTGGCAGTGTGCAGTTCCTCCGTGACAGCAATGAGAGCAGTTTCTGTGGAGTGACCTGCCTTGAAACCAGACTGGTGCGGATCCAGAAGGTTGTTCTGATTGAGATAACAGGAGAGTTGTTTAAAGACAGCGCGTTCAAGTGTTTTAGACAGGAACGGGAGGAGAGAGACAGGCCTGTAGTTTATAACATCAGACGGGTTGAGAGTGGGTTTCTAGAGGAGAGGGTTTACTCTTGCCTCCTTGAGACTGTTTGGAAAGTGACCAGAAGTTAGAGAAGTGTTGATGAAATGGGTGAGAAACGGTAGAATATCAGGAGCGATAGTCTGAAGGAGGTTTGAAGGGATAGGGTCCAGAGGACAGGTGGTAGGGCGGGCAGAGGTAATGAGGGTAATAACCTCACTTGGAGAGAGAGGGGAAAAGGAGGTAAGTGTGTTGGTGGAAGGAGGGTCTGGTGACCCAGCGGTGAGTAAAGGTGAGTCAGAAAAAGAAGAGCGAATATCATCAACCTTTTTTTCAAAGTGGGTAACAAAGTCGCTTGACAGAAGTGAGGAGGGGGGAGGAGCTTTTGGAGGGTCCAAGAGGGTGGAGAAGATGGAAAATAGTTTTTTAGGATTGGAATAGGAAGATTGGATCTTATCTTGAAAGAAAGTGCTTTTTGCCTGAGAGATCGAAGCAGAGAAAGAGGAGAGGAGAGCCTGATAGGTTAGGAGGTCGTCACGGTGTTTGGATTCCCACCATTTCCGCTCTGCTGCCCTAAGGACGGTTATTTTAGCATGCAGTGCATCATTTAGCCAGGGAGCCGGAGGGGACTGACGAGCCTGCCGAGATGTGAGAGGACAGAGCGAGTCCAGAGTGGATGAGAGAGTAGAGAGGAGAGTTTCTGCAGCAGAGTTTGGAGGCAGGAGATGGAACGAATCAGAGGAAGGGAGGGCTGAGAGCACCGACGAGGCAAAGCTAGAGGGGGAGAGGGAGCGAAGGTTACGGCGGACAAGTGCAGGATGAGAAGAGATTAGTTTGTTATGTTTGGAAAGGGATAGAGAGAATGAAATGAAGAAGTGATCGGATGTATGGAGCGGGTTTACAGAGAGGTTAGAAGTAGCGCAGTTCCTTGAGAATATGAGATCAAGGACATTGCCAGCTTTATGAGTCGGTGGGGACGGAGACAGTGAGAAAGCAAAGGCGGTTAACAGAGATGTTAGTTCGTCTATCTTCCCCGTCTGGAGGTTGAAGTCTCCGAGAAGTACAGCGGGAGGGCCAGTTTCAGGGATGAGTGAGAGGAGATTATCTAATTCCTCCAAGAAGTCCCCCAAGGCGCCTGGTGGACGGTAGAGTACAACAATGGTTAACTGTATAGGATGGGTTACTGTGACGGCATGGAATTCAAAGGTGGAAGGAGTGAAGTTAGGTAGCTTGAAGAGGGAAAAGCTCCATTTGGGAGAGAGCAGGAGACCAGTGCCACCTCCTCTGCCAGTGGGTCTGGGTGTATGGGAGAAGGAATATGCAGTGGAGAGAGCTGCTGGGGTGGATGTGTTGGATGGAGTAATCCAGGTCTCAGTGAGAGCAAGGAAATCCAGAGACTGCAGGGAGGCGTAGCCAGAGATGAAGTCAGCCTTAGTAACAGCTGACTGGCAATTCCACAGGCCACCAGAAACTAGATGTTGGATCTCAGTGGAGCACGTGGGATAGAGCAGGCCGGTTATATCGATTAGGAGATACACGGGGCCAGTGATAATTGCGAGAAGACACATGAACAGGAATAGAGAAAATACACATGATTATAGCATGCGGGGCTAGAAAACTAAAGAAAAGAGAAATAAGACACCAGCTCGATCAGAGTAGGATTTGCCTCCTCTTTGCCTCCCTCGTGACTCCCGCAGGACTCCCGCAGGACTCCCGCAGGACTCCAATGTCTTTGTCAGTCTTACTCCCGCAGGACTCCAATGTCTTTGTCAGTCTTCGGCTGTCTGACGCTGAAGCTGACGCTCCAGAAAAGAGCTACCCGAAATGGATGCCTGATTGCTCAGTTCTCACAGCTGTAGGGACCACGGCCCTCTAATTAGTTAACTATCTACAGCTGATGGGCGACAATAGACTGGCCGTGCCTATATTAATGCAGGCTTGAGTGCTGAGACCTGTAAAGCAGGTTTCGCCTGAGCAGATCTGAGATTTAAAATCTCTCAAACGCGATTTAGCCGTTTACGCTACAATAACAATTTATACAGAGTCGAATAAATGAAACAGAAGTCTAATTAAACAAGAATATAACTTACAGTGGTTGCTGCGTCAATAGGTAATGTCGTCACCGGGTCCAGATGCACACTGAGTTCATCAGATTTTAAATGCGGTATTTAAATTCTTTTTAAGGTACAAAATGACTGAGTCATGCGGTTGTACTTCACGCCATCAATAGACTGGCCGTGCCTATATTAATGCAGGCTTGAGTGCTGAGACCTGTAAAGCAGGTTTCGCCTGAGCAGATCTGAGATTTAAAATCTCTCAAACGCGATTTAGCCGTTTACGCTACAATAACAATGTATACAGAGTCGAATAAATGAAACAGAGAAGTCTAATTAAACAAGAATATAACTTACAGTGGTTGCTGCGTCAATAGGTAATGTCGTCACCGGGTCCAGATGCACGGACCCGGACATCTAATTCCAATGTCTGAATATTCTTAAAATGTTGAAGTTCACTGCTGTTTGAAACGGGGTACTTCCATTTGTTATGCTATCATACTGTTATTACATCAGTGTCTGAAAATGTTGTTTCAATGACACTAATGTTGCTTATCACAATTATTTTTGAGAAAATATATCAACCAATAATGGTAGTTATCGTGATAAGCCGAAAGTCACTTCTGCCTGACCCAATACCCCCAGAATTGTATGCATTTTCAAACTTGTCGACTTTAGACCCAAACAACTTTATGTCAATGTATCAGACATTAGATAAGACCAATGTAGAAGATGATAAAACAATCAGGATATAGCGCCCCCCCTCAGGAAACTCTCAAAGTATCTGTGTGATAATTGATAACATCCCATATATTATCTCATCATGTCCCATTTGACCCTTTTAAACATATTTTACATACCACCTGATTAACTTATAACAAGGAAGTCAATAAAGAGACAAAGAGATGCCAACACATCAGCTATTTCCCTGAATAGCATTGTGATAATGAGGTATGCAGAAGAAATAGTTCAGGGTGTGGTTAAACAAATCTGGATAACCCCCCTGGATAAACCTATGAGGAAATTACAATCTAAAGTTACATAGTGTATCCATTGTTAGTTTCTCACCTGTTTGGCCACACAGCTTTAGAAGGAGATGTATAGAGTACGCTGCCAGGCTGGACACTAGTACTAACAGGAGACTGGAAAGGAAAGATACATTCAGTACAAATGAGTGCACATGTAGCTGTATTTAGGTCCGCTTTGTTCAAAAAGGCGTCAGATATTTAAACAACACTGTGGTAAAAGGTGTAATAAAAGCAGTCTTACGAAAAACCAACTATTCCAGTGTTAGCCATGGCATAAGATAGACCCAGAATGCCACTGCCCATGATGGCATTCATCAGGTTGAACACAGAGGAGGCGAAAGAGGCTCCTTTGGCTCTGGGCTGCACCGATCCCTGCACACAGTGGAGATAACATGTGAAAAAACGATAAAGAGTTAAAACAATTCATGTGAAGACAAAGCATGGAGCCAAAGAAATCGTATTATTTTTCTAGGAGCTTTAAGAGAATTGCTCCTGACAGATTTCAGAACAACTGGCTGGCCCTGATGATGGACGTCATGAAACAACACTGCAGAGGCATGTAGGATCAGGGAATGGAAATGGGAGTGGATGTGGTGGGATTTGAGCAGCTAGCAGTGGGACAGCTGCCTGAGCTCAGGATAAGGGGAGCTGCCCAAACTGCTTGACCTCTCTAATAGGGGATATCCTGGAGAGAACGAGTGACAACTCTGGTGTCAGTGTCACAACAAGCGGGGATTGACCTGCGAGCTGCTGATCAGATCCAGGAAGTAAGCTATGACACCTGATAAAAATGCAGGGTCGCAATGATAACAAATAATGCACCAAATCAAATAGGATAAGAGATAAGATAAGATGGTACTTTCAATGACACAGATACTTAGGATATTTGAGTTTTAAAATAAATATGCACTGGTAAGGTATTGTGATATGAAATAACAAATTAATGTAAAGACCGTTCTTATCTCACCTAGTTCCTTTTACATTGTATTTATTGAGCTTGGTTTCAAAATAGTGATAGGGTTTATACATGGTAAAGTAATTATAAACATGTGGGGCAATTAATCAACTTTACAATGTGTCATTAGATTAAGTGCACGGCGTTTCTACTCTCATTTTTGAGCATGGTTTCTGGCCACATGAAAACAGTAAATAAACCACACTGATTGATTCGTGTTAGCCTCTTATAATAGGTCAGGTGACTCATTACTTGTTCCTATACTTTTAAACCAAACATTGCTTTGTAAATCTGAACCATTCAATCCTTTGTTCAACATCACAGAGATGGATTTGAATCTTCTTTGAGCTACTTAATCAATGAGTAGAGTAGTGTTAATGGACCAAATGCAAAAACAGTCAGGGATGATCAATACCTGTATTGATTAGGGTGTACCACAGATCACCTGTGCTATGTTATCTGGATTGATTTGGGGGAATTTAGAATTCCTTTACACCCTGAATAGTAGTTAAACTATAATGCAGGAAACTTAAAAGTGTGCATTTTAAGGCTGGTCTTCATACATCATTTATTTAAACGCAACTGTTTTAGGAAAAACTAGTTAAAGTTAAAGTTAAAGTTAAATCTAAATTATGAAGAGACTTATCACAAGGACTTTGGAGATCTCCCACCAGAGCCAAGTAAACATATTAAATAATTGTTTTAAAAGCCCTATGGTACTAATCATGATGAGTGTCCATCACTATAATACTACATTATCGTTATTAAAAACACATCTGAAAAGGACAGTAACTAGCAGAGAAGTATAAAAAAAATGTGATTTATATATTTGAACTTGCATTCATAAACTCCTGGGTAAATTGTACATTTCTTTTAATTTCGTGCAACTTCCTAATCTTGAAAGTTTGATGCAAGCTCTTTGTTTATCTTTTTATCCCTTTTTTTAAAGTATGACTATTGATAATTAACAGTTGGTGTATCTTTTTAGAACATTTTTTATTATAGAAAAATACACTTAACAAACACACTGTATTGTGTCTAAATTGATTAAATCCTCTTTATATTAAATATTAAATAGCAATTATTTGCACAAGTTAGATATTTCCTCAGTGGAAAACAATGAATGAAACACCATGGAGCAGTTTGTGTTTTAGGGTGGACTTTCACTGTAGCCTATTTACTGACAGAAGCAGAAAGTGGAAACTGAGAAGTTTACAGAAAAGGCGCGTGATGTAGTCATAAACATACACAGAGAACTTCCTGTACTGATCCTCATTTACTCGTTTTATAAAGTTCACGTGCTCACTGTTTTTTTAACCTATAAAGAGTGTTTTCTTACTCACATTTGTTATTAAAGGTGTCGTTTCGTCTCCTTCGATGATTCTATCGCTGGTGACGCATTCCCGATATAAGTCTGGAGCTGAATCTTTATTGATGCTCATTTTCTTCCCTCAGAAACTCAGGGCACAAACTGCAAGACTTCTTATTCACGACCAAACTTCCTCCTACCAACATCCCAGCTGCTGACTGTTGTTGTTTATAATTTACGTCAGCTGCCTCTTTTCCGTCGCATTTGGCACGTCAGTAAAGAGACCGCCCAATCAGAGAGCGACTCTCCGTTAGTTTGACCAATCAACAGCCGGCACTGGTCGACCAGTGATGACGCAATCCAAGCATGCCTGAGAGCGGAGGATGTTGAGGTGAGCTCTCAATGTTACATTTCTTGAAAATAGAAGCATAATTATTATTATTATTGAGTATTTTAGCCGACGCGGCTCTGTTTTGTTAAACCAACCACACAATTCACTCTTATTCTGTGTTTTATAACTTTCCTGCTGCCTAACCGCCACGTTTTATGTAATTGTAGGTCTCTCTCCAGAGTCTTTTCCTATGTTCAAGCTGAAAGAAACCTCAAATCTGCTGTGCTTCGTAGCCTCTGGTCTGCAGCCTCCGTTTGTTCTGATTTTTATTTGAAACCCACCATGGAGACTAAGCTTTACAAGCCCCCTCAAGAGGTCCGGGGTATGACCTCTCTCAACAAAGAGGCCTTTACACAGACCATCACTGTCCCGGCTCTACGGGTGCCCAATGGGGTCTTAAACAAAGTAGTTAAGAGCCTGAAAAAGGCAACCATCCAGCGCCCAGGGGTGCCCAGAGTAGTGCAAGATGAAGAAGGGAGTAGTGACTTTCGTTTAGTCCTGTTGGACCCCCACAGAATCTCCTCGTCAAGCTCCTTCAGTGAAGGTGAAGCCGAGGCTCTGAGGTCTTTCAGTGTGGTTCAGGAGCTGCGGCACTATGAGCTGCAGCTCACCTACCACAACCTGAAGAGTGATGAGGTGCTGGAGGCAGTGCTCCCCCCGGGTCAGGACGTCCCCTCTGGGTTCAGCCGGGTGGGACACATCGCACACTTTAACCTGCGGGACCACCAGCTCCCATACAAGAACCTTATAGGTGAGAGGAAGGTGTTGCAAGAGAATAAGGTATTTTGTGCATTGTCAAAGATGCACAAGTCTCTGGAAATGTAATAATGTGATGAAACTAATTCTTTAAAACAATATTCAGTGTTTTGATGATGGTGTCAAAGAATTTGGGAGATTTAAAGTTAGCGGCACATTTTAATTATTTATTTCTAACTTTGTGTCTGCTTCCATTGTAGGTCAAGTCATCATTGACAAAAACCCTGGTGTTACCTGTGTGGTCAATAAAACAAACATGATCGACACCACTTACCGCTACTTCAAGATGGAGGTGATGGCTGGGGAGGAGAACATGGTTGCCAAAGTAGGTTCAATCATAAATGTGCATATTCCACGTTAATGGTGTATTTGTAAATAAGAAAAATACTATCCATTTGTACAATAATGCTCTGATATGAGACCATTGACTGACAGTTGATACATCGTTGTCTCTGCTGCAGATAAAAGAAAACGGGGTGACATACGAGTTTGATTTTTCACGTGTCTACTGGAATTCCCGGCTGAGCACAGAGCACCAGCGCGTGGTGCAGCTCGTGAAACGCGGGGACACTGTGTTCGATGTGTTCGCCGGCGTCGGACCTTTCGCCGTCCCGGCTGCCCGCTCCGGAGCCAATGTTTTGGCCAATGATCTGAACCCAGAATCCCACAAGTGGCTGCAGCACAACTGCAAGCTCAACAAGGTGGAGAAGAAAGTCCGCACCTTTAACCTGGACGGCAGAGCCTTCATCCAGGGGCCCGTGAAGCAGGAGCTGCCTGTGCTGCTGAAGGGAAAAGGCCAAGGTTCACATAGTGATGAACCTGCCTGCCCTGGCTCTGGACTTCCTGGATGCTTTCAGAGGTCTGTTGCCCCAGGAGCTTTCCTGCGACGAGAACCTTCCCACAGTGCATTGCTACAGCTTCTCTAAAGAAGACAACCCTGATACGGATGTGGTGAAGAGGGCCTCCTGTAGCCTCGGGTTCCCCCTGAAGGACAAGTGTTCTGTGCATTTTGTGCGTAATGTAGCACCCAACAAAGATATGCTCTGCGTGAGTTTCACCATCCCTAAAGAAGTCCTCTTCAGCGGTGATCAAGAAAAGACAGGTGAGTTCATTCATTCAACGGTGAGGAAGTAATGACAATTTGATGATCACTTCAGGGGAAAAAACATATTCAAACATGAACAAGAATACTATTCAAACATATAAACATAGAATGAGAGAGAACAATGTGGTGATAGAGAGATGCAAGGACGACGTATTTCTTAGGTTCGCTCCATAAAAAGCCAATAAGATTTTCCATTGGATTGTCTGTTCGCTTAATCTGTATATCATATTTGATATAAATACTCCCAAAGAAAAGCTGAAACAATGTCAGTTACTCAATAAACAACATCAAATGGCAACTCATTTGATAATCGGTTTATGGTTTGACACATTTTTCCAGCAAAAATGCCGGAAATTATGTTTCCAGCTCGTCAAATGTGAGCAATTTCCTTTTTTCAACTCAAAATTGAAACCCGTTTCTGGTTCTGATTTACGATACATCAATGATGAAATTCATCTTTTATTTGCAGCTCTCATTGAAGAGCATGTATGTATCTTATATGTGCCGCATATGGGTCAAAGAATATTATGTGGAAAAAAAACTATAAACTGATTTTGTTTATCTACAGATCCTTCAGAAGAACCTGCTCCAAAGAGACAGAAGTGTGAAGAAGCCACGGATTCATGATCGACCTGCCGATATTAGGAATAAAAAACAACTTTTTAGTTGAGACATTTGACTTTTCTTTGTTTTTAATCGGAGTTTAACTGATGCTTAATAACAGATTATGTTGCATGTTGTCATAGGAAATCATGTCCAATCTGTACTTCAATACATCATATTTTGTTTCTACTTTAATGTATTGGAGCTATTATTATTCAAAGCTTGACTATATGTCAGGAGTTGTTTCACTTTTAAATAAAATTCACAAAATTGACAGTTGTTGACTGATTTAAATAAAAGATAAAAACAAAATATAAAAAAAAGGTCATTAAACAAAAATCAGTCAGAGCAGCATTCAGCTCAGCAGCGCTGGCCTCTTTAGGGTGGCAGCGAGTGGCTTTTATTGTCCTTTTGGTCACATTTATCTTCGGGCTCTGGATGTTCTCAGCGTTTAAAGACGAACATCCCACTGAAAGCGTCCTGAACAGCTCGGTGACAGGCCAAAGCTGAGGTGTATCCTCCAGCTGTGTCCTGAGGCATGGCAGCCCGCACGTGGTTCAGATACCTGAGAACACACACAGAGCTCTGGTCAGTAACAGCAGTGAGGTATGTTGTCAATAATGTGACTGACTGGCAGCCTGAGAGCAGTTTTCAAAAAGTAGTTCCTGTGAGTGTAACCCGAGCATACGTTTTTTCTTCATTAAATCCACACTTGAAGTTATTTTTTCTGGCTTTCCGCGACCCTTTGGCCCTTTTGATGAAATCAACGAAGACAGACGTACCCATACACAAACACTGGAACACCTTGTGCCTAAAAGCCTCTCCAACATTGCTCTATTAAAGTATTATGGGTGTCTTTTATTTTTTAAGTGCTTACAGATGTATCCTGCCAAAGCCCCTTTTTCAGGTTCTTAAGCAAAGCCACTGTTTATTTTCACATTCGTGCACAGACAGAAAAACAGTCGAGCTGTTAATTTAGTCCTCACATTGATAGATGCCCCTCTACTTCTTCGCTGTGTTAGTATAAGGGGGGTTGACCTGTCCCCCCCACCCACTCTAATCCTTCCTCTACTGTTGTGCCGTCAAAAAGTGGGCATTGGCAGAGAAACCCGCACACATGTTCTGTTCTCCAGCATCTTGACTACAAAGCTAAAACGACAAAGTCCTCTAACAACGGAGACAACACGTAGCCTTGCCTGTCAATACTGCCGACCACCCGACCCCCCCCCCACACCACCCTGCAGAAATCAGAGTCCTGGCAGAAAGGACTAAAGCCCTCACACGAGTCTGGCTTTGTGGCCCCTGTTCCTGTGAGCCGGAGAAACTTCAAAGTAAAACGAGAATCAAGAGCACAGACAGCCCTCTGTGATTTCTGTGCCCATTCAAGCTGCTTTACAGAGTAACCCAACACCTGTGGGGAGGCAGAGAGAGATGGAGAGGGTTGAGGCATATGTGTGTGGGTGTGTGTGAATGAGAGATGGACAGGGAGAAAAAAAGGTGTCAGGGAGACTACATGCTGAATAGATCATATTTTGCTTGGGTGTTTTATGATTCTACGAGGTGCTTTGCTACACAATAAAGCCTTCACTGAAATAAAAGTTAAACATATTCACTGGCATGACTGTGACATAAAGTCGAACATTTGCGAGTATCAGAAGGATGACCTTGTCTTGTCTTACAACAGACAGTGAAAGTGAGAGGAAGAGCAGCACAAGATGTCAATCAGGCCACTCATCACCCACTAGAGAAACGACACACAAGTTCAAAACAGGAGGCCCAGTGATTAATAATAACTTCATTAGGCCCAAGCTGCTGTAGCCTGTCCTTCAGAGCACTTGAGGGAGGTCTTCTCATATGGCTTCCTGCATCAGATGAGTGCTATCTATTGATTATATTGTACTGGGCCTTTTTAATGGTGAAAAAAGTGGGCTATTTACAGCCCGGCTAAGTCTGCTCTTCCTGCTAATCTAATCCCCAAGCTACTCATGTGGTCATTCCTTCCAAGAAAGCTGAGAGCTCTGTGTAACTTTATACCTGCCTGCCCCTAAGGAGCCAGAGAGAGGGAGCAAAAAAGAGAACATGAAGGAGAGGGGGGAGGAGGGGTGGAGGGGAGTGGGAAGTGGAAAGGAGGGAGGATATGAGGTGAAATCACCTTTGGGTATCATCATCACAAACCCTCTTCTCTTAAACCAACCCTGTCTGCCCTCTGCTCACCCCTAACACCCGAGGTTAGTTCAGTTCTGCTCCATTAACTCAGCGGTCATATCCGCATCTTCCTGTAAGGGCCGGCCGCGTACATGTACAAGCACAGGACCGGTTGTAGAGGAAGCGGAAAGATAAACTTGACTCCTTTCACATGACTGTACTTGACAAACATTAAGAGTGGACTCACAACACACTAGACGTGCAACAGCATGAACTGCGTTTACATTTGGAGCACACTAGTCTGCTGAAACACGAAGTCACTTGACACTGCCTTCAATCATAAAACGAGATGCAACACACATGAAACCCCCCTGAAATGCTTCGAGACCCTCTGACGCTACTGTTTCAGTGTGCACTCCCCGTCTCCACACCCTACAACCCCCCCCCCCCCAACCCCCTCTCTCCCTTTCTCTCAAAGGACTGGACTGCCTTTTGTTCGCAGGGCCCTGAAACCCAAGCCGTGTCGGCCGGTAACATCTTTCACTCTCCGGGCCCCACCAGAGCATTAGCTGCAACTCGATATGGGTCTTTTCAAAGCCTCGTATTATTGGGTAAATATGGGTCACTTTGGACTGGCCCATTATGTCGCTTGGGGGGGGGAGTGGGAAAAGACGAGTGCAGGTGATGAAGACAACTGAATGACACAGTATGACAGTGTGCGTGTCAGACTGCAGTTACCACAAGGGAATATGATTTTCCATGAGTATACACACCCAAAAGGAGTTATATATGTTTTCCCAGATTTTTTTCTCACATGAACATCTCAGCATAAATCTCAAATTTAGATATTCCCAAACGCATAATAGATGATAAAGTACAATATTCTTCAACTTCTACTCATACCATCTGCTGTTAACGCTGTCTTTTTAAAAAAAAAAGTCATGTGGATCAACATTTTTCAGAGCCAGCAGCATTTTTCCACTTGTGTATAGAGCTCTGAATACCTGCGCAATGTCTCCTGCTAATGCTAATAACGGTCAGAGATTTCCCTGACTGGACCCCAGGAGTATTCCCCACTCCAGCTGCCTGGAAAACGCAGCGCAGCCGCATCCCTAATTCAAAGTGAAAAGATAAGTGGCGAAATGTTCCAGCGGGGTTCTGCGTGATTTCCAGCTGAGAATGTGTGGCTCCTCTGTGTTTGGATCGACGATGCTGCTGCGGAACGGCGGGTGTTTGGGCTCTTCAGGGAAATAGCTGTGAGGTTGGGACTCTGGAGGGAAAACGGCCGATATCAGAGGGAGGTGCAGGCTCTGTTGGGCCTCTTGTCTAGACTCCATGTGTTGGCTGGAATTGGATTAAGAAGAGCTGTGGAAGCGCAGGCTTGATGGAAAAGAAAAGAGGCCTGTAATTCAACAAGTCTATTGCAGCAAGCAGACACTTAATCAACATGCAAACCACAGAGCAGGCGCACGGGACAATGGAGCAATCTGAATCAGTCCTAAACAACGCTAACTGTAGAATAACTGGATGTGGTTTGGCTGCTTAAAGACTTAGCTAAAAGATGCAAAACTGGCTGCTTCAACAGAAACATTACTATCTGAATGAGTGGAATTTATAAGCTCCATGCTGCTCTCACGTTTTCCTTCAAAACCCTGACCTGAGACTGGGCCTAAGCTTGGCACCTGTCCACTCTTGCAACCCTTACTGATCCAGGGTCAGCATTTGTTTTACTTCACATAAGATGAGAGGCTGTTTTAATTCAGCTTGTCGTCAGCATGATTCATGACCCGCACAGTGTAAGATGACTTCCAGGCAGTTGTTGAGATGAACTCTAGATTCAGTTCAATCAACACTGGAAAGATAAATCAATAAATCCAAACCTACCTGAGAGCGCTCCAAGGACTGAAGCCTCATTAGCTATGTTTATTAAAGCGAAGGAGCTTAGACTGTAGTGTTGAGTGCACAAACGAGGGCAGCTGACAAGCACAGAGCAGGCTATATCTGAGCAGAGCCGCCCCATGCTTCTGTGAGGCCAGTCATGAGGCTGCTGGATGGCAGCGTGAATGTCCGGAAGTCTTCCTTTAACGCTCTGCTCCAGCAGCGGTTGAGGATTCCTGGCCTGGAAATGATGGGGGCTGAAGGGGGGGGGGGGAGGGAGGCAGAGCCACACACCTGCCAGATGATTTGTCATTATAGAGGGGTCAGCACTCAGCTGTCACCCCCTAATCACCCATCCTACCCCTTAAGTCAGCCCCCCCTTTACCCCCCAAACTCTACTGCAGTCCTCCAAAAACACCCCCTGCATTCCTAAGGCAGATCCGGTTACACTCACAGCACTGCTGCCTCTCCTTCCTACACTCTGCCCTGAGAGAAAATGTACCCCTGTGAGAGACACAGCACACTGAGCACATTGTGTGGATGTGCGATGTGTGCTTATGCCCCCCCATGTGTGTCTACACAATTCCAAGTGTGTGAATACATGTTTTTGTAAGGGCAAAGCTGTTTGTATCGATACTGATGGTGAAACCGACGGAGCAGAATTGTACCAGCACGGGACGTGTGAATTGGTCCAGGCTGCAGTCCAGAAACAAAACCCCCTGCAGACAAGCCAAACACAGAGGACTCTCACAGGTATACTATATCTGTCAACAGCGGTCTTTCATCACCACAGGTCAGAGGTCACACTCCTTTCCATTGAGTGCAGCTTCCTCTGGGACGTGCGAGTGTGTGAGACAGATCCTCAGCCATCAGCCTACCCACTGTCCACCAGATTATCTCAAGTTGTGAGTGCGTCTGAGGGGAGCTCGGTGCGGTTACATCATGTCCTCACGAGCCTACAGACCCCTTATCCATTATCGTGCTTCTTATCATTACCACCGACAGACTCTGCATCCAGAAAGCAAGGAGGAGCGGGACATGGGTGTAGCTAACACTTAGTTAAGAGGAGAACATGTTTAGAGTGTTAACAGAAGCTTTGGGTGACACTTGACTTAAACACTTATAGGAATACACTCTCATTTAGGGGACTGACAATCTGTAAGATG